AAAGGGTGGCCATCGTAGTTCGCGAGGAACGACGCCGCATGCCTCGGAAAGGAGCAGGGAAGATGCTGAATGACTCTAGGTTTCTCAGTATGATAAGGGTACCCTTTTTCCTACTATTCGGACGTAAACGCGGACCCAATGCACAGAGCAAAAGGGTACTACTTAGGAGTCTAGGGCTACACGGATGGCTCGCTGAAACACGATGTCGAAACCAATGCAACCGTTATTGTAGCAGCTATCGTCGCTGCGGCCGTCACGATGCTAGAAAGCGGTACTGCAAGAAAATTCCTCAACCATCCCAAGCAAGGCACAAAATCCTAAGCCATAATATATGGGTGGTTGTACGGCACCAATTATTGTACCCAAAAAGGGACCCGAATTTTGACAACCACCCTATGAAAGGCCTTGTAGCATGAAGCCCAAAGCCCAAACGAAAACACCTCGCCACTGCGGCCCCTCATCCTACCCTAGAGGGTCCTATGTACTGATATGGGGAATACTTCCCTAAGTCATAACCGTAATTCCTAATATCGAAACCCTACATTCTACTATATCGGTACATAGGACCCTCTGGGTAAAGCTTTCTACGGACTGGTGGCCCGGTACTTGTTGTAGGAGTTCGCTTCAGGGTCTCGGGCTTTGCGCTGCCGGGTTCTTTGGGTTTGCGGGCTTTGAGCTCAAAAGTGTATGGCGTGGGCTATCTGGTGAATAGAGGTTAGCTGGCTAGGAGGGGATTTTGACGCCGTTTCAAAAATATTAGTAGGTAAGATCCTCTTAAGCCCACTAAGAGCAAATAGAAAAAGTCCCAAAGCCCTACCTACTTGGTTTCCTTTCGCTGGGTACCAACCTTAAACTAGGCTATCCAAAGACGGGGTCGTTCAAGGTTTAGAGTTGCAAGGGGCGTGCTGCAAGGGCCGGAGGACATGTCGGAACTTGTTCGCAAATGCATTCAGCCATGCAAGTACCCTAAGGGTCCAAAGGACCTAATCATAAGGTGCTTGGGTTTACGGCAGTAGTTACGTAGGTTACTAGTCTGGAGAGTATATGATAACCAAGTACATCGACCCATAGGGGTAAGGCATGATTAGTTTTGGCTTGCGGCAGTCTGCGACAACTTGTCTACAAGCGCAGTGTGAGGGTAGCTTTCGCCTACACTAACCAGTGAATTTGAGGGGTCCCTTGGCTCTTTAGCTCCTTATCTAGTAATCTAGTAGGGATTATCATCATCCCTGGCTTCTTGGCTCCCCCCAATATCATTGCTTAGTACAGTCCACAAGATCTTCTCAAGTAACAACTGCAAAGTTCCTGAGTCGTAAATCCAAGAGTAAAAGGAGGGACCCTTAATAAGGACCCCGAGGTATATACCCTTAATATAGCCATTATATACTGATTATACGGCCCATTATAGGGTAGGGGTCCCCATTAAGGCCCTCCTTTTCCCCTTTGATGAGTCTTAAACGGAGGCCGAGTCTTCCTATCCAAAAGGCTCCATGTACCTTGATAAGTGAATCCTTATAAGCCTTAAAGGGGTCCCTTTATGGGTACCTTAAGGCCTAAGTACATACTTTATGGATACATGGAGCCTTAAGGGATGAACATCGACTGGCACAAAATGCTCCTCCACAACTAGACCCAAGAGTAACCCAGGCATAAAAAGGATGCCCTTTTTGGCTTAAAGGGGCTTATAAGGGAACCTGAACCCTAAAAAAGGGAATAAGGGCCTACTCTGGGTCCTAGACAACGGATTCATGACTTCGGGCTGCAGGTTATTCATTGCATGGGGGCTGTGTACAACCAGGATCTCCCGAAACCTAGGAGGAGAAAGGTTAGGGGTTTAGGGTTTGGGGGTTTAGGATTTAGGGTTCGGGGTTTAGGGTTCGGGGTTTAGGGTTTTAGGGGGGCTTGAGAAACCTTGACAACCAGGCAGGGTTTAGGACACAATGGGCCAAGACGCATCGCAGCCATAAGTTCGAAAACGACCTTCGTCAGATAACAGGCACGAAGGATTCCCGCCCTGAACGCAACTGGTCGTGGCATTCTATTGTCTGACTGCCTAATGTCTTACTACCTGCTACCCTGAGCACTATGCAAGCTATGACGGGACTAAGCCGAATGCCACTACATGCCATCACTTCTATCAAAGGGGTGCTGCTGCGAGTCGTCGTAAATGGCCGCGTGAGAGTAGTAGCCAGTTGAAGTTGCGGTGATGTTGAAGGAGGAGGAGGAGGAGGAGGAGGAGCAGGAGGAGCAGGAGGAGCAGCAACAGCTGCAAGCTAGTAGCAAACTGTAACCGTTCAGGCGCGGCTGATATGTACCCGAATGCTCCTGGACCCTCGTAGTGAGATCCCAAACCCTAGCCCCCAAAGCCGAAACTCTCGCCCAGAAAGCCGAAGACCCTCTTACGAGCCTCAGGGTAGTAACTAAGTGGTCTGTGGTACTTGTTGAGTGCTGGCAGTATGTGGTTTGTCTCCTAGCATGTCCTATGTTGAATAATGCAAACACCCAGGAGGTCGGGAATCAGCCCCCAGAGAGCCCAATACCCCGTAATTAAGCAATATACCTTAGATTATAAGGGGCTTCATATTATGATTTAAGCTATATTCCTTAATTAAGGGGTATTGGGCTCTCTGGGCCCACCGCTCCATGATTGGAATTGCCGGATCTGGGCCCGCCAGGGCAACCGAAATTATGAAAAAGCACTGTAAAGTAAAAGCCAGAAAGTTGGAATATGATTATCCTAAACCCTTTATGGTAAATTATAGGGGATCCTACCATTAATCCATATTCCAACTTTTTGGAGTTCCCTTTAAACAGAGCAAACGCCAGAAAACGAAACACACAAATTCACAAAGTCAGACAATGTCAGGAACACTCAGAAAAATCAGGTCAAGACAAACATCGTTAACAGTTGAATGGTAGAGACGTTCTTCAGTTGTTGTTGATGTTTTCCAAACTTGTTCCATTGCCCCACTTTGAATCGGCCTGACTTTTTTCTAGTTGTTTTGCTGTTCTTAACGAATCATCGACAGTAGCTCGTGAGAGCGACTTAATGCCAGCACCAGTGAGCTCTACTAGCGATACTGCTACCAGAGTCCTTCCACCCCTGTCGCATCTGCAGTCGCAACGTTGCGACTGCCTCGCCTCCTTGGAGGTTCATGGGTAGTTGCAAGTGGGGCTATATAAGTCCCCTTATATGGGTAATAACCACAGTTACCCACTCATCACTACTATTTTGGGGCCCATGATACTATCATTAGAATAAGGAACACCCAAGATAGTAGAGGTAATAGTTAATTATGAACCAGTCGCGCAGTGCGGCCCAGCTGCGGTGTTGGTCAGATTGGGCGCGAATTCACCCTCCAGATCTCCTCCGCAGGGTTTTCTGTCTGGTTCCCAGACCTTCCAAAATCCCTTAATTAAGGAATATACCTTAAATCAGATTAAGGATCCTACTATAATTTAAAGTATATTCCTTAATTAAGGGATTTTGGAAGGTCTGGGTTCTTAGTAGGGAATGGGACTTTATAGGGGAGCTTAAGGGACTATAGTAGGGATTCATTCCCCCATTCCTCACTAAGAACCAGACGCTTGTCTGCCGGTTCAGGTACAGATTGACCGAAGCAGGAAGATGGGAAACGTAATCCTAAACTCTACTGTAATATAGGGGCCTTAAGAATTAGAATAGAGTTTGGGAGCCCGTTATCCTACAAAAATGGCATCGGTAACCATTAAGGCCCCTACATTAAGCTCTGATTCTTGCTTCTCCAAGACTCTTTTGAAGTCTTTTGCGCGCCATCGGTTTGCCATCTGCCAGCCAGAGAACCTTAAAGGATCAACAGCGCTGCTCGTTGATATGACCTCTTTGGTATCTGGGAGGGGAGAGATCCTGTTCAAGAACTCGGCCGTTCACACTGTCGACGAAAGGACCTATGCTCCCTAGTCTTCCATTGCTAATGTAGGAACCTGATAAGGAAACCCTGGGCCTATAGCCTCAAAATAGTGGGATTCAAACAAGGAACCCAAATGAAGGCCCAAGGTTTCTTGATCAGGTTCCTACATTACCTGTGGTTTCCAAGTTTTCAAATCTTCTGGGCGTAGGTTTAGGCATAAAGCATTAAATGCTCTAAGCCCGAAGCTCCTAAACCCTCAGCCCTAAACCCTAACCCCCCACAAAAAACCTAGCTTTTTTCAGGCCTATATGGGAGTTTCCGAAAATTAGGGGTACCATATTTAGGGGTCCTTATAATAAGGATCCTACTATCTAGGCTGCTATATTAGGGTCCCCTATTTTCGGAAACTCCCATATATAAAGGGGTCATATAAGGGAACCCTAAAAAGATAGGTTCCTCAGGGTCCAGGGTTTCCTTAAATCCAAAGGTAAAAGGAGGGACCCTTAATAAGGGTCAAAAAGGTATATACCCTGAATATAGCTACTATATACCCATAAAACAGCCCATTACAGGGTAGGGGTCCCCATAAAGGGTCCCTCCTATTCCCCTAAACCCTCTAAACCCCCAAACCCCTAAACCCTAAACCCTATACCCTTATAGAATAAATCCCTATAGATCCCTTTAAAGGGTCCCCATTAAGGGTCCCTTCTTTTCCCCTTGGGTTAAAACTAGCCCTAGCAACCCCAGATCTCCTAAACCCTAAGGCCCTGAAACCCCAAGGGTTTTAGGGTTTTAGGGTTTTAGGGGTTTAGGGTTTAGGGTTTTAGGGGTTTAGGGTTTTGGGGATTTAGGGTTTTAGGGTTTGGGGTTAAGGGTTTAGGGTTTTAGGGTATAGGGTTTAGGGTTTAGGGTTTAGGGTTTTAGGGGTTTAGGATTTAGGGTTTTGGGTTTTAGGGTTTTAGGGTATAGGGTTTTAGGGTTCAGGGTTCAGGGTTTAGGGTTTTAGGGTTCAGGGCATTTAGGCTTCTGAGAGAGCTCCATACTCTCCGATGACATTGTATGCAGGATAGCTCTGCAATTTCAATAAATTAAGGATACCTCCACAAGTTCTCAGGTAGGGAGCAGAATCGCCATGTGAATGATGAGCTGGATTCCTAGCGTCGCCATGACTGGCCAGGCGAAGACGGAGCTGATCGGCTGCCTTGGGCGGGTTCGGGGGTTCAGTAGGGTTCAGTGCAGTAACCCAAAGTTTTGGAGTTTTAGGGTTATTTTATTAAGTTTAGGGCTCAAGGGTTGTAGGGTTATTTGTGTCTTAAGGTTTTAGCACTTTCGGCTCCAGGATGGAAGTTTCTCTTTTTAGGTTTAGGCTTCTGGGAGAGCTCAATACTCTCCGATGACATTGTATGCAGGATACCTCTACAAGTTCAATAAGTTAAGGATACCTCCACAAGTTCTATGAATGAAGGTACCTCTAAAAGTTCTATTAGCTCAGGTAAATTGCTTCAGGGGTTTTCATAGAAACGGCTTTGCAGGGCTGTAGAATTCAGGGTTTTTTTCTGGTTTTACTTTGTGGCTCTCGGATTCCATTCAGGGCCACCACGGAACACTCACCAGGAACCTCATGTGGGGTTTAGGGTTTAGGGCTTAGGGCTTCATAAGGAGCCCTTACTTGCCTGACACCCCTTTCGACCCTGCCCTAAACCCTAAACCCTAAACCCTAACCCTAAACCCTAAACCCTCGACCCTGCCTAAACTCCCTGACACTTGCGCCACCCGACCTGCCTTCAGCGCTTCGCAGGGATGCCCGGTAACATGGGAATAAAAAGGGCTCCCTGTTTGGTAGTGGGTAACTTAAAAGGGAAGCTAGGACTACAAAGAGAGAATAAGGGTACGACTGGGCATCCTAGTTCAGGTTACTGTGAAAGGGGGAAAGGGAAGGACCCTTAATGGGGACCCCTACCCTATAATAGCTATATTATGGGTATATACCTAGAGGTCCTTAGTAAGGGTCCCTCCTTTTTCCCTTGGATACCAGCACTTCGGGGAGGTCGACCCGAAGCATCGTCAACAGCAAGAGCCTCTGCTCTACGCAAGCCTGAACCCGGGTCTGAGGTTCGACTTCGGGTTTAGGGTTTAGGTTCAATGTGTAGGGGGCTCCCCACCCCAAAATCCTAAACTCTGAGACAAAATTCCCCAAATCCTAAACCAGAAACCTCAAACCCTAAAGCCTAACTCCTAAAGCTCTCCACAGCTCAGGCTGAGCTGAGCTGCTGCCTTGCCAGCTGCTTTGCAGGCGCACTCCTGGAGACCAGAAAGAAGCCTCATAGCTGCGCACATCGCAACATGAGAGAATAAATGCAAGCAGTTCTTGATATCTGTAATAACTAAGGGTACCCTTCTGAGTACTACTTCGAGGCCCCAAAACAGCACATAAGCAGAAATCAGGATAGGGATATCCCACATAGGCCCCCCGTATAGCCCAACAATGTGCCCAACAAGGTAATATGGACATCCCTGCAACATGCTTATCCTACTTGTCGGATATCATGGGGAACTAAAGGTTGACCTTTTCGGTTATATAGGGACTATACTACCCAAAAAAGATTAAACTAGGTTATGCTTACGTCCGCTTTGGGTCCCTACTCTTACTCCCCCAATAAACCACCGAAATACAAGGTTAACCTTTCCGGTTCCTACTAAACTATAAGAACCCAAGAAGTTGTAAGGTTGGGTATTGGGGATCTAAGTACTATTCGGGACCCCTCGCAGGCGAGATCAATCTCACAGGGCCGAACGATGGGGGGACGCTACCCAGAGAGCCCAATACCCCTTACTTAAGGAATATAGCTTAAATCATAATCTGAAGCCCCTTATCATTTAAGGTATATTGCTTAATTAAGGGGTATTGGGCTCTCTGGGTACGTTCCTGAGTAGCCCCTTCACAATAAAGGTATCCTTTTTTTCTCCTACTATTCGGTGTTAATGGGGATCCGAAAATGAAAAGCGCAAAAGGGCACCACTCAGGAACCTAGACTGTATGCAAACTCCCTACTCTTAAGGGTTTAGGGTTGTGCGCGTGTGTGCGTGCCTGTGTAATTATTTAGGCCCCTATATTGCGGGTGGAGGGGGGGTGCTTTCATAGATCTTTCTTGGGTTGTTCTAGGGTTGTCTTAGGGCCAAAGGCTCTTTCCGCAAGTAGGGGACCCTAGGATCCTTACTATAAGGACAATTTTCAGAAACTTCCACAAAGAGCACCCTAAACCCTAAACCCTAAAACCCTAAACCCTAAACCGGCCAAGCCACACATCGACGTGAACAGTGACTCCATGGCCGTTTGCCTTAGTTGCTGAGTTCATAGGCCCACAAAGTGTACGGTTGAGGGTTTAGGTTTAGGGTTTGGGGGTTTAGTATATTATTAATACTATCCCAAAAAGTGTAAAGTGCATCCACTCTGCTACTAAGTTGCCCATCGCCGAGCTTGACTCCATCCAAGGTCAGCGCGGACCTTGCGCCCAGAGACGCTCCTAGGGTTCCCTTAGAGGGATCTGGAGGGGTTCCTTTAAGGGCTCGAGAAAGGGATCCAAAGAGGGTTTAGGGTTTAGGGGACTCCAATATCCATTAATTGAGGAATACACCTTAGAATAGAGTAGGATCCCAAATATTTTTTAAGGTATGTTCCTTAATTACGGGATACTGGAGTCTCTGGGAGCTGCATGTTAAGGAGACGTGGTGACTTGTCAACTAGAGTTATATAGGAGTCAAGGATATAGAAACTGTAGTATCATAAGCGTTCTGCAATAAGAGCACCGTGTGGTATTCTTAAGATCATGGGGACTTGGTAACTAGTGTTACGAACAGGGGAACTGTGGCTACAATTTAACGTATAAGCTGCAGTTGAGGTACGGATACTCTTACTTACCAAGGCCCCTAATCCTTCAAGCTCTTAACAGCTGTGATGCAGAGTCGACCCTAGGTCCCCTAGAGGAAAAAAACAAAACCCTAACCTTAAGAGACCAAAACCCTATAGCCCCCTAATGCACAACCCTGATTCAGACACCCTGCCCCCGAATATTAAGTGACATGAATCAGGGTCTGCAATAAAACCCTAGCCCTAAATCGCTCCTAAGTCCTAAGCCAGAAAACCCCAAACCCTTGACCTTAAACCCTAAACCGGAGGTTGGCGCCCACTTGAGGGTCGGAGCGATTATGAGAATAACAGCAGCAACAATAATTCCGCAATAACAATAAAACTCAGAATAAGGCTTCCGGGCGGGTCCTGTAGTAAAAGAAAACAGCCTGACGACTATCAGGCGAGAGTCTCATCCCTACAGTCTCCATGATGTTTCCTTTCTTGGCTTATAACCACTTATAAGTATCTGGGATCCTATAAGGTAACGCAACACAGGAACACTGGAGACCACAGGCAATATACTAACCTATACTGAACGTAGAACCCTAGCAAAAATTATAATTTTAGCTGTTTCTTAGGGATTATAATAACCAAAAATTAAAAAACTTTTTCTAAGTACCCCTAAGTAATTAAGTACCCTCTTCAGACCTCCATACAGCAAAGCTGAAAGGGCGGCCCTCGCAGGGCAAAGAAGAGAGGAAGAGCGCACCAGAGGGCTCACAAGGCCTAAGCCTTAGCCCCGAAGAAATAAGTATCTAACATCGCATCCTCAGGAGCGCAGACGTTTAGGCTTTAGTGCTCAGGCTTTATGACCTTTGGAGTGTCGTGGCGTTGGTGAACTCAATACAGCCTATCTTTCATGGTTCGTTATTACGATTTGTTTAGAAAGGTCATGAAAATGGTAGGTTATTTGGGGTTACCGTAAACGGTAGACTGGGCTTAGGGGTTGTGACTGTTGGGCTACCTCCCGGATCTGTGCCAAGTTGCATGGCAAAGGCTGACAGGATACTGTTCAGGCCCATGATCCTCCGCAAGTGCCATCTTTGGTTATGGGTGGTTTAGGGTTTAGGGTATAGGGGTTTAGGGTTTAGGGTTATGCTGCGGCCTGAATGCTTGGGGGTTCATGGGACTTAGTAAATACATTTTTCAAGTACCCTAACTGGGGCTATACCCAATTATAAGTATAGTTAATAGTTACTAAGTCCCATGAACCTTTAAGTATTCACCAATGTTATTCTTAATGTTATTCCTTAAGGGCTCCACATTGCAATGCTAAACGTAATATGGCAAACCCACAACCCTGTTCAAAATAAGTGAGGTCCCTACATAAGTTTCATCATGCCATGTCTGCTTTCAAGGTTTAGGATCTAGGGCTTCGGGCTAGGGCTCAGGGGCACGAAAGTAACACACTTGCTATTACTTGCTCCGCCAATAAACCGCAGAAACAAAAGGTTAACCTTTCCGATGCCTACTCAACTTTTAAGAACCCAAAAAGCTTTAAGGCTGTGTATTGGGGATCTAAGATGAATCCCGGCCAATGGTCTTGTACATCATGAGGACTGAGCAGAGCGTTGCACGGCCGCTGCGCAACACTTGAATGCCTCACTTGCAAAAAAACCCAAGGGAATAAAAGTTGAAACTTTCAGAATCGACTACCTTGTAAGAACCCCAAAAGGTTAAATACTACCTTAACCCCAAAAGATGAAAAGTTGAGTTTACAGCCAATAAGATGCTGCATTTGATGGAATCGCCCTTGTAGGTGAAGGGACTGGCGATGCTGGCATCGCCAAGCCGCACCTCAAGCTCGAGTTAAAAAGAGCCTTCTTCGAGGAAGGGCACTCTGATTTAAGCCTTAGGGTTGGATTTCGGAATGAAAGGGGCCTTATAAAGGGGTGTATAAGGGTTACTATAAGGGATCTATAAGGGTACTGTAATATGTTAAAAAGACCGTGCCAAGGATCCTTCTTATGGGCTCTTTACAAAAACATTAGGAAAACTAAACCTTAACCCTAAACCCTAAATCAGAAGAAAACGTCAACGATTGCATAGCATCGACAGCCTAGTTGTCAGGTATCATGGAGAACTAAAGGTTAACTGTTTTGGTTACATAGGGACTATATAGGGACTATACTACCTAAAAAAGGTTAAAGGTTGCCTACTCTACTACTAGGACAAAGGCACCAGGGGAACCTGACCGTTATCGGCCAGCATCTCGTTCACGGATTTCTGAGCCTGTGACCTGCAAAGAGCCATCTGAGAGTTTCCGAAAATTAGGGGTACCTTATTTGGGGGGGTCCTTTAATAAGGATCCTACTATTTGGGGTACTATATTAGGGTCCCCAAATTTTGGGAAACTCCGATCTATCGATGTTTACGTAAGCCGCTAACTACCAAAGTTTCACAGCCTTAAGGATTAGAATAGGGTTTAGGGGGAATATTCTACTGTAATTACAATAAGGACCCACAAAATAGTATAGGAAATTATACAGCTATGATAAAGAAAAGTATTGGTACTTCTTCAGGCTTCTGCTCAATGACAACGATTTTCAAGGCAACCCGACCTCGTCGGCATGCGCGGAATGATGCTGGTCGTCATGAGGGAGATTCCAACGTGTGCGTGCTTGAGGGCGCCAACATCGTTAGTACCGTCTCCAACCATGACCTGGTTCAGGGTTGGGGTAAGGTTAAAAATTTATTTGTTATGCCTTATTGGGTTTAAGTAACCTTAAAAATGTAAAATTTTACCCAACTATGACAAAGTGACGGTGTGGGATTTCGTATTCAGCGCCACTACTACCTGCTCCTTCTGTTGCGGCGACACCCGTGCGAAGACGGTCGTCACCTCCACCACAGCAGCCACCTCCTCCTGCCAGCCAGGTTTAGCCAGGTTTGGAGTATGTTGTACTATACGTTTAATCAGGAAGCCCCAAGAGATAGTTTAGGTAGTTATCTAGGCCCCGATATTAAGGCTTGAGGTCTAGAGTCTAGAGCTTATAGGGTTTAGGGAGTCAGCATGAAGTGGGCAAGAGTGCATGCACGCAAACAGGTCTCGGAGAAAGCCCTTACAGGTCTATCTTGAGTCGATACCCTGGGACTCCAATATCCCTTTATCAAGGAAAAGTTTTAATGGGATTAGGGATCCTGCTGTAATTCAAGGTATATTCCTTAATTGAGGGATATTGGAGTCTCTGGATACGAGGACGCAAGACAGCCCAACAAGCTACTACCGCGACATGCACGATTGACTCTACGAATGTCGTCGTAACATCTCTGGTATCACTTTTCAGGTATTTAAGCTTTATGTAGGGCTTATGTACATGCATAAGACTATAGGCAACATTGACACATGAAGACTCTATACAGGTTTTTTACATGTATGCAGAGAGAAAGACAATATTGTGTGTATGCATGTTTTAAATATTAATGAAATGTACAAAAAATAGATGTATATATATATATATATATATGTATAGACGGTTGTATGGATAAGGCCCTATCCTACCCCTGTGAAGTTGTGTGCTCCTGGATTTCAAAAGATCCTGGGTGTATGGAACAATGGCATGTTGCTGGTGTGGAAGTATCCTGCTTGCTTCGAAACAGCACCACACCCCCATCTACAACCCCATTAATCCTCTCGCTCTGGCTAGTAGCAGCTTCGAAGACTCTTAAGTGCAGGGTGCATTAGTATACCTGTGTATAATATAACAAGCCCGAACTCTGTGTCCATGTCTTTCCGTTTCTGCATTTGGGGTGTATACTGCCATGTAACTAATAGCATGGCAACACGAAGCACGAAACAAAAAAGATAACCACAGATTGCACCAGTGCCTGATGATGGAATGAAAACATGACCACCACGTCCGGTTGCAACCCTCATAAAATGTGGCAAAAAACTTCATTAGTGTGCGTCTATCGTTTATTGCTAGCTTCCTTATTGTAGTTCTTCCTCGTCCGTGGCATGTTCACGAATGAACCGACACACGACGAAAACAAAACGAAAAGCTCACCATAGTTCATATGCCAGTTATGTGAAGAGAAGCATGCGCAAACACAACTCTGCCTTATAAGCCTTGCTGGTACCAACTGATGCACTCGCTTCGTTTGTGTGTGGTTCCAAATGGAACTTATACATAACAGGTATTACTCCTGAAATGCTTGCTTTACCAAAATGGAATGGGCACATGCCTGAGCTAGTAGTCCTTCGCCTGTCGGTTTTTTGGCTACCTTGCTTTCACAATGCATGAAGCGCACAAAGGAGACGGCGGTGTTGCCAACTTTCTGTGAACGAGTTTAGCGGTTAGGCTGTGTTTAAGGTGTTGTAATCAGGTTTACAGGGTTGTGTTAAGGAATTTAATCTAAGATACCAGAATCATCGGATCTATAGTAGATAATATCGGTTCCTTAGTATGGTAAACTAAAAGAAACTCCTTCAACAAGAACCCAGTTTAGGGTTTAGGTGGAGAAGTAACTGACTTGCTGTCTTCATGGGTGGCAATCAAAATTGCGGTCCATGTTTGGGTACCCTAAATTTTGGATGCAGTACTATATTAGGGACCCAAAAAGGACCATAATTTTGACAACCACCTTCATGAAGCCTTCTTGTTGGATGATTACTGAACTCTGAAGCACAGCCGAAGATACTCTAGTTTGGCGCGGGATGTTGCCCGTACTGGAGACCTGAGATTCAAGGGTTTAAGACTTCCAATATCATACCAAATGAGCCAGACAAGGGGTTGAAGCTGTTGCCAATCGGTCTCAATAATCTGTATGCATAGTTTCGCAGTAGTTTAGTGATGAACATGTGAAACTGTAGCGGTGTAGAGGGGCTAGAAGCACGCTCGTAAGTAAGTATGCGTGTGTATATATATATATATATATATGTATACACAGAATTTTATAGACATACAGACATACACATGCACACATACATACATTCATTCATTCGTTCATTCATATAGAGTATTAATATACAGATGCACACATATACTTTTGTGTTTGATCACACTCAACATAGTTTTTTGATAGATGGGGAAGGAGAGGGAGAGAGAGAGAGAGAGAGAGAGAGAGAGAGAGAGAGAGAGAGAGAGAGAGAGAGAGAGGGGAGGGGAGGGAGAGGGGGGAGGGGGAGGTAGAGGGAGAGGGAGAGGAGAGGGAGGAGAGGGAGAGGGAGAGGGAGAGGGAGAGGGAGAGGGAGAGGGAGAGGGAGAGGGAGGGGGAGAGGGAGGGGGAGGGGGAGAGGGAGAGGGAGGGGGAGTGGGAGAGGGAGAGGGAGAGGTTGAGGGAGAGGGAGAGAGAGAGAGAGGGAGAGCGAGAGAGAGAGAGAGAGACAGAGAGAGAGAGTGAGAGAGAGAGAGAGGATGGCGAAAGAAGGCTTCAGAGACTGTGGAAATTTGGGAGTTTCCGACAATAGTGGTAATCCTAGTACCCTGAATAGTAGGAACCTCATTATAAGGATCTCGAGATAAGGTACGCCTAATTTTCGGAAACTCCCATTTATCAGGGTAAAAGGAGGGACCCTTAATAAGGACACGGTATATACCCATATAGCCCCATTACAGGGTAGGGGTCCCCATTAAGGGTCCCTCCTTTCCCCTTTTGATTTTGGCCTCCCACAGTCTGGCCTTTGTCATCTTTGCAAGAGCACCTCCCGTGACGCAGAGCGTGTGGCTCCGGGCCAACTTCCGCAGCTCCTCTCCTGTGTTTGTGCTTCGTGCTGTTGCGTTTTTGTGTTTTCTTTCTTGAGTTTGGGTTCTTGGGTTTGGGGCTTAGGATATATAGTGGTTTAGGGCTGTTTTTTGTGTTTCTTTCTTGGGTTTGGGGCCTAGGCTTAGGATATATAGCGGTTAAGGGCATAGGGTCTGGTGTCGGGACCGACGGATGAAGCTGTCCTGCGGTGAACGCGATCTTGTCGTGCACCTGCGCTTACAGTCTTACAGTTCGGGTCTGGGAGTCGGCAGGGTAGGCCCTGACGCCCTAAGCCCTAAACCCTATACTCCCTAATCCCTAAACCCTATAATCCCTAGACCCTAAACCCTAAACCCTCATCCCTAAACCCTGATTCCTAAAGCCTAAACCCTAGACCCTAGTCCCTAAACCCTATAATCCAAAATCCCTATAAACCCTAAACCCTAATCCCTAAACCCTATAATCCTTAAACCCTAAACCCTACTCCCTGCACCGTGTAGGGTTCAGGTCCTAGGTCGTAAGCCCTGTGTCTAGATTTCAGGGTTTCAGTATGCCCTAAGCCCTGCTTAAAGGTTCATGGGACTTAGTAACTATGGTTATAAATAAGGTGACTAATTCTACTTATAATTGGATATAACCCCAGGTAGGGTACTTAAAACTGTACGTCCTAAGTCCCATGAACCCCCAAGTACACCAGAAGTGCCAAGCCTGAAGATCTAAGCCCCAAACAGAAAGCTAGGATGCCAAGTAACCGAGGAATAAAAAGGGCTCCCTCCTTGGTATTGGGAAACTTTACAGGGAAGCTAGGACTACAAAAAGAGAATAAGGCTACTTCTGGGCATCCTAGAAAGAGAAAAACGGCCCGGAAGCCCCTAAACCCTAAACCCTAAGCCCGCACCCTAAACCCTGCCTGGTGGTCCCAGTACTTCCACTCCAGCCCCTCAGCCGATCCACCCACCTGATTCTTCTATAGGGGCCTTAAGAATTACCTATGTTATTCTGGGGGTTCCTTATTATAAGTATAGTATAGTATACCCCAAACCCTTTTCTAATCAACAGGCCCCTTGGCGCTATTGCTGACTGTCAGGGCTTGAGGGCTTTATGTCTTAGGGTTTTAGGGAGTTTAGTTGGCTTAGGACTCTAAGGTTCTAGGGTCTTTGTTTGCAGAGTTGTAGAACTTAGGGCTTATACGGCTTTGGGCTTTCAAAACGCAATTTTCGGAATACGGCGTCGCCAGTAAGAAGCACCGCGATCCGGTTCATAAGGACGGTACTTGGAGGATCATGGGACTGAGGGTTCCTTTTTAAGGGTACTATAGGGTTCTATAATAGGGCTCCTTAAAGCGATCTATAAGAGTTCTAGAAAAGGAGGATCATGGGACTTACTAAGTAGGGTTATAAGTACCCTAATTGGGGTGATAAGTGATAATAACTGTAGCTACTTTACTTATAACCCTACTTGCTAAGTCCTTTAAGTAGGGCTCTCCAGTTTCTTTTGAAACATTAATCAACAAAACTGAGCCCGAAACAGTAGTGTTCTGAAAACGCTGACAAACCGAAACCCTAAACCCCTGAGCCTTAAACTTCTGAAAGCATCGATAAGCCTAAACCCTAAACTGCAAAATTCACAGAAGCCTCAAGCTTCAAGAAGCCTGCGACCTGAAAACCATGCTCAGCAGACCATGCTCAGAAACATCGCCCCCTAAACCCTAAGCCCTACTAAACCTAAAACATCCTGAATGTTGCAAACCTGGATTCTCGGGCTTCCGAACTTTGGACTTACAATTTGGCTAGTTGTCAAAACTAGGTTCCCTTTTTAGGTACCCTAAATAATAGGTGCCGTATTATACTATGGACACAAAAATAGGGACCATAATTTTGACAACCACCCATTTGGGGATTGGGGATTTGAAACGGTTGCGGTTCATGGTTCGCGGTTCGAGGAGTTCTTTCGAGGGTTCTTTGGGTTCCAGAACGAGGAACTCCAAAGACAGGTCTTGTGGGGTTATAGGCAGGGTTAAACGCAGGCAAGTTGCATCATCCAGCACGAGAAAGCGATTTTCTGCCATGCCTCAGTACACAAAGCGGTCCTGTTTCATCAAAGGCAATTAAAAAAGTACGTACGTCGGACAGTACTGACCCATAAGCACGGGGCCTTAATGATTAGAACAGGTTTGGGTGTTGATCAGCATAAACATGCTGATCAATAATCATAACAAGGAGCTCTGAGGTTGAAGTACTCATGTTACTGAGTATCGAAGCCCTGAGAATATGTGCAGACAAGCTTTTCCACGGCAAGGCACTCACATTCTTGGCCACCTGGCATGCCGTCAGTGGATGATCGCCCGTGATCATGATGACCCTGTGGTAACCTTCGGCAGTGTTTGAGGTCGTGCAATGCGAAACAAGACAATGGCCGCACTATCGCCGATTCGTCATTCGACACAGCTTCCTAAACCTAAAACTCTAAAAACCCTGCATCACTCCCCGTCCAAGTAGCAGCATCGCCACGCTCTAGGCCCCCTATCGGCTCGTAGATAAGGTAAGCCATACTGCATGTGTCAGGACAAGCATGGGGAGTTTTCAAACCTGCCGGGTCTACGTGAGGGTTCGCTATTTGCTGAAACACATAAACCCTAATCCCCAAACCCTAAACCCTAATCCCTAAACCCTAAACCATGATCCCTAAACCTTAATCCCTAAACCCTGATCCCTAAACCTCAACCCCATATAGCAGCACAGCTGCTTTGGCGTAGTTGCCGGATAGTATTCGAGGTATTCGGCTTTACCTGGCGCGGTCTCTTCACAGGGGAAAAGGAGGGACCCTTTGGGCTCTTAGGGTTCCTTTAAAGGGATCAATAAGGGTTTAGGGTTTAGGGGATAAGGAGGGACCCTTAATGGGGACCCCTGGGTCCCTATAATGGGCTATATCATGGGTATATAATAGCTATATTAAGGGTATATAATAGTTATATCAAGGGTATATACCTAGGGTTCCTTATTAAGGGTCCCTTCTTTTACCCTTGGATCTGTAGCATTGCGGCTTCACCCTATTTTTGAAGCCTCAACGTGGAAAACCTCCCCTAAATCCTCCAAACCCTGAAACCCTTCAGCCAGCCTGAATGCCTACACGCTAAATCCCTAGAGAGCAGAGGTATCGTCCAGAACGACAACCCCACGTATACTTCCTTTGGGGAACTGCCAGGTGTTTGGGTTTCGGAGTTCAGGTGGTGCTGAGGCTTGCTGCCTGTACTCTTCAGTGCAGTTCCATCTATTGGTTAAGCAGTTTAGGGTTTAGGTTTAGGGTTCGAAACGACGACAGTGACAATGTCATGGCGTGTCATTGCACACCAAATACGAACTATGATGCGTAAAGCAAATGAAACCCAAGCCCTCACCCAAGCGCCCAACCTCAAGCCCCAAAACCCGGAATCTTGCCAAGCACCCAGGCTCTTCGTAAACCCCTTAATCCCGCATAAAGCTCTGACATGTTTGATACCTTCATGAACTCTTGTTTAACACCTTTTGAAACCCTTATAAAGCCTAAACCCCTAAACCCCCAAACCCCTAAACCCTCAACCCCTAAACCCCTAAACCCTAAACCCCTAAACCCTAAACCCCTAAACCCTGAACCCCTAAACCCTAAACCCCTAAACCCTAAACCCCTTAGGGGTTTAGGGTTTAGGGGTTTAGGGTTTAGGGTTTAGGCTAAACCCTAAACCCTAAACCCCTAAACAGCTAAACACCTAAACCCCTAGACCCCTTTTCCTAGACCCCTAAACCCTGAATTAAAAAAACACCCGCCAGGGCGGCGGAGTTCCGCAAGACCAAGAGCCCACAAAACTGGAGCCCGGTCTCCACGTCGTCTCGTTCCTCTGCTTCTTTGACTAGGATACCCAGTAACCTAAGAATACAAAGGCCTCTCTTTTTGGTATTGGGTAACTTTTCAGGAACCTAGGACTACAAAAAGGGAATAAGGGTACTACTGGGCATCCTAGTTGAGGGTGTGTTTTAATGTGTAGTGACTTTTCAGTCTGCCCGAACTCGGCTTACACACAAAGACGTCCGCTGCTGTTCAGTTTTCTTTGAGTAAGGTTCGGGGTGGAGGGTTGAGGGTTCAGGGCTTACGGTTTAGGGTAGTTGAGGGAACCCTGAAGCCTAAACCCTAAACCCCACTTGAAGCTTCATGGGACTTAGTAACTATGGTTGTAAATAAGGTAACTATACTTATAACTGGATGTAACCCCAGTTAGGGTATTAATAACCGTACTTACTAAGTCCCATGCACCCTCAAGCACTGTATCACCCACACCCTAAACCCTCAGAAGGTTCTCGGTTTCGGTGTGCTTTAGGCATTCCTAAACACTGAAACCAGGATGTTTAGGATGTAGGGTTGATTACCATAACTGAATAAATGCAACTATCATTTACTTCGGTTCCTTGTTCTCCCGATACCCCAGGCCCAACGCACCATTTTATTTAGGATGTCTTTGTGCGCATATTTCTAGCAAGGGCCTACACAGATTAAGATAGATTTAGGCTCAGGTTCAGGATGTTTTTGCGCACACTCCATTTCACATAGTTTCAATACGGGTTTCAGAAAAAGTTATAGTGCGACTGTATTTAGGAACCTGGTAATTATGTAGGCCCCTATTCTTAACCCCAGACCCCAGAAAATCCTTAAACCCAATTAACCCCAAACCCCACAAGTTCCGTATTATAATAGTTATAGTATAATGGACCCTCAAAACCCCGTTCTGAATATTAAGGCCCCTATACTACAGTACCCTTATAGATACCTTATAGTAACCCTTATATAGAGCCCTTTAAAGGACCCCCCCTATTCTAATTATTAAGGCCCCCTACATTTACATCCTCAAACTTCGCCGAACCAGTCGGGGAGCCAGCAATTCTGCATCCATGCTCTTGTCACCAGGAAGCTCCTGACAAGCAAGGGTTTCGGAGTTTAGGGGTTTAGGGTTTGGATATGTATGCTAGTGCGACGGTAACGGCTGGCTGCTTCTGCTGTGGTATCGCTGCCGCGACAGCCTTCACTAGCACCACAAGCATCACGTTGGAGCGCCCTAACAATAACCAAACTGACAATAACTGACTGGCAAGGGAAGCAGCAACAACAGCGAGAGCAACAATAGCAAATATAGGGGCCATCATAGTTAGAATAGTGTTTTGGTGGTATAGTATATCAGAATTATGATAAGGAACACCCCCCCAAAGAGTATTGGTAATTATTCAGCCCCTGTATATAGCAGCAGCAGCAGCAGCTGCTGCTTCAGCGGCACGAACCAAAACAAGAAGAGTTTCAACAGCATCAGCAACAATTGTACGGTACAGTTTTTCTATAGGCCTCAGAGTTTAGTTTAGGGTTTAGGCATCAGCAACACTGCTACAAACAACAACCAGCCTGGCGAAGGATTTCACGACTGCGCGATTCTTCAACGCTCGGAACTAAGGGAAGGCGTCCGCACCATCACAAACATAAGCAACACACGTACTGATCATGTGCCACCACGATATCTTGATGATCGTCACCAGCAGCATCATCATGACTATCATCATCGTTGACATCATCGTCATCATCATCATCAGCGCATCGTCAGCATCATCATGGCCATCCGCGCGATCCTCATCATGCTGACAAGGCAGTCGTCATCAACCCTGCCTCGCTGTCAGGAGCAGCGAAAATTACTTTCAAGCTCTTGAACATCGACATCACCTCATACTGCATCCGGGCCGTGAGCATCTCGAGCATGTTAATCCATATCCCCACACCTCTGCCGCCTACATCATCAGCCACATCACCACGACAATTCATAATTATATGATCACCGTCATCACCAACAACAAGATAGCAGACATGAGAACCTGAAGGTCCATCATCATCGTCTTGAAACCTGCGCCCTCATCGCCACCGCCCACCCGCCACCCCGCCACACAGTCGCGCCATCATCATCATCATCACCACCATTATCGTCATCATCATCATCCATCATCATCAACATCACCGGCGTCATCAGCAAACATCAACCGTCATCGTCATCATCATCATCATCATCATCATCATCCATCATCCATCACTCCTACTGTCACCATCATCGGTCTTGCCATCTGGATCATCATCACCATCACCGCCAACAAACACCTTGGGCACGGACGAAGCAAAAGCTTGTATACTGTGACCAGCACCGTCATCATGATCACCATCATTGTCGTTGCCGTTGTTGCCGAGAATATAATCCGCGCCTTCGGCGTCTCCTTCATCATCAGCATCTTAGTCTTCATCATCTTCTTCATCTTCATCGTCATCTTCGTTACAGAGCACCCTCAGGGCCGAAACATAGCATCTAAAAGGGTCTAAGACGACTATAGCTGCAGGTCGGGAGTATATTGGGATTACAAAATTATATTATAGTTAGTTTGGGGTTTGGAGGTGGTGATAGGGTTATGGTACGCTTGGGATTATATTATGCGGTTTATGGAACCCTTGGGATTATATAGGGTCATGGTACCCCAAGAAAGGTTATAGAACGGTTAAACTACTCTACTACTAGGTATAGCTGGATGTCGCAAAAGGCGCAGTACAGAAGATTGGAAAGAGAGAGAGAGAGAGAGAGAGAGAGAGAGAGAGAGAGAGAGAGAGAGAAGAGAGAGAGAGAGAGAGAGAGAGAGAGAGAGAGAGAGAGAGAGAGAGAGAGAGAGAGAGAGAGAGAGAGAGAGAGAGAGAGAGAGAGAGAGAGAGAGAGAGAGAGAGAAGAGAGAGAGAGAGAGAGAGAATTTTGCAAGGTGACAGCGAAGAACAGTCCTGACCAAAGTCCATGCAACAATCTCGTAAAATCTCATGACGCGTCTCGTCCGATACAGTATTGAGCCCCAATCTTACGACGACTTTCGGGACAAAAGATGCTGCCAGGGCATTTTTTGGTGGTAGGCATTACCTGGACCCTAAGGACCCTACCTTTTTAGGGTTCCCTAATATAATTCCTTTATATAAGTCCTTGAAAAGGTAGGTTATTTGGGGTTACGGTAAACCCTAAACGCCAAACCCAAATTTGTCGTCTGATCCCGCGCTCCTTCGCGGCCAGGCAGAGCACGCGAAAGCCGAATTTCGTAAGCTGGTCCTCTGATTGCGGCAAGCTATATAGGGGCCTAATTAAATGATTACCAATGCTGTTTTCGGGGTTCCTTATTATAATAACTAAAGTTTAATGGCCCCGCAACCCTTTTCTAATTATTGAGGCCCCTATATATATATATATATATATATATATATATATATATATTAACTTCGGATTGCAGGTTTAGGCTTTTGGCGGTGGTAGGGTTTTGGGATGCTTTGAACCTTGGGGATTTCGGGCAACCATAGACACGTGTCGGAGCACAGCTGAACGAACTCGGCTGATACGGCGCGCGACTCTCTGAAGCGATGATAACCTTACTCAACTCCCCCAGTAAACCACAGAAATAAAAGGTTAACCTTTCCGGTTCCTACTAGCGCATCAGGAGACCGGATCCTTTGACCTTGTGCCGCTGAAGATCCCTACACCCGAAGCCCTAATCCTGAAAAGAACCCCTGCTCTTGTTTTTGACTCGACCCAAGGGTGACCCGGTAATCAAAAGGGCGCCCGTGTTGGTTTCAAGGGGACGCTTTTTGGTAAAGGGGCTTACCAGGTAACCTGAACCCTAAAAAGGGAATAAAGGTAATAAAGGCCTACTCTACCCTAAACCCTAAACCCAAAACCCAAAACCCAAAGCCCTAAACCTTAAACCGTCAAGCAGCCTCACACTGACCCGGAGATGAAGACCTCACCTCAAATCTCCCCTGAAACCTTGCGGGTTTTCGGGTTTAAGGATTTAGGAAGTTTGGGGGTTTCGGGTTTCAGGGTTTCGGGGTTTAGGGTTTCAAACTAAACCCAAAGCCCTAAACCCTTAAAGCCTGAACCCAAAGCCCCAAACCCTTGAACCCCAAGCCCTGAACCGCGAGACGACCCTAAACCCCTGAACGCCTAAACTCCTAAACCCCAAGCCCATCCTGCATGTCGTCCAGGTTCGGTGGGACTTGAACCAGTCCTTCGGATAGGTCGCGGCTCTAGGGCTTCAATTTAACTCTTTCGGGTTTACGACTTCATGATTTGCGGGGCTTAGAGCTAGGGTCTTGCGCCTTGAAACTGATGGAGTGGTGTGAAGCTTCACGATTCTCCTGATGTCTGCAAACTCGAGTGGTCAGGGTTCCTTTTCTTTTTCTGAGGGCCTTTTGATGACGGCATGAAAGGTTTAGGGTTTAGGCTTTAAGACGAACCTAACTTTTCAGGACTGTCGGCAAAATATGGGGGCCTGTATGATTGGAATAGGGTTCTTGGACACATTATACTATAATTGTAATGAGGAACCATTAGTAATTACTTAGGCCCCTATAGTGTCGGAACCTGATTAAGAAACCTTGGGCCCTTATTAGGGTTCTTATATTATATGAACCCTACTATGTTGGGGTTATAGGCCCAGGGTTTCTTAATCAGGTTCCTACATTAGTAGGCTTAACGACTTTGCCTGCTTGTTTTCCCCAGAGGGCAGCCGTTTCAGCTTTGGGGTCACCGTTAACAATCAAATGCCACATGTCTGAGCTGTCCTTTAAGCCCTTTGAAAATTATTTACTATTATGGTTCTCTACAAAATATATCGTAGGGGAAATTAAAAAAAAGATCCCAAAGGACAACCCAGATGTGGATGTTTGTCAAAATTGGGGTCCCTTTTGGCCGTACTATACTAGGGACCCAAAAAAGGCACCACAATTTTGACAACCAGCTGTGTCATATTATAGGGCCTAGGGTTAAAGTTTGAGTTTTCAAACTACCTGAACCCCGAAGAGCCTGCATTCTACAGGACTTCTATAAAGAAATCATCATAAGGAACCCTAAAACGGTAGGTTATTCAGGTCTTACCTTGAATCGCAAGCCCTCCAGCCTAATTACACAGGAGTTAGGAATAGGGGGACCCTTGGGGATATAGGCCCTCTCAGTAGGGTCCCGTTTAAGAGAGCAAGAGGTAGGGCTAAGAAGGGTCCCTTGTAAAGGGGTCCCACTAATGCTACCTGGCCAGTCGCGGCCGAGAGGCTGGGTTTCAAAGCGTCGCAGGAGCCCTTCCTGAGCTTGGGGTTTAGGGTTTAGGGTTTAGGGGTTGAGGGTTTAGGGTATAGGGTGCATCAAGACAGCTATGTCAGAAAGTTGGGAAGCCTTTAACTTTAGAACGTAGACTTAGCAACCCTTGACACCTAAACCTCAAAACCCGTAAACCCTGGATAAACCCCGAAACCCCAAAACCCTGAACCATGGAACGTTAGAGCCCAAAAACCCTACAACTTTGAAATACACCCTTGAACCCTAAAACCCTAAAGGGAACTCCAGAAAGTTGGAATATGGTTTCAGGGTAGGATACCTTATAATTTACCATAAAGGGATTAGGATAATCATATTCCAACTTTCTGGCTTCTACTGTAAACCCCGAAAGCCCACACCTGAACCGCTTATGCATTGCAGTGGCCTTTTTGCGAGGCACCCCACCCAGACCCGAAACCCGGCCCCTGAACGGTCCCACAGTTTAGGGTTTAGGGTTTAGGGTTTATGAACGGTCACGCTAGATTTGGTCAGAGTTTAGTGTGTAGGTAATTTAGTTCTGGTAATTTAGTTCCAAAGCGAACTATTCCGTTGGATTGATGCTCTTGTACACTACAAGTGTTGCAGTCAAACTATACATTATGATACTCTACCCCAGTTCTCATGATTCAGGCCCCCATGAGCGGTTGTAAGGGTTAGGGATTAGGGTTTATATAAGGTTTAGCGGTCAAATTCCCGGTTTAAGGTTCTAGGGTCGAGGGTTCAGGGCTTCGGGCTTAGAGTATCAGGGGATCTACAGTATACAGTAGTGTACAATAATGAATAACGTACTCCGGACAAGGGAGCCCTAATGAAGGAACCCGAAGGTGAGCCCTCAAATCAAGCTTTTTTTCCAAATGCATGGGCCTAAAGCCACATCCCCACAGCTACTTTGCCTTCTCAGGGTTGTGGGGCTGAAGGGCTTAGAGATTTAGGCTGTGGAGGTGTGTGTGTGTGTGTGTGTGTGTGTGTGTGTGTGTGTGTGTGTGTTCGTGTTGTTTCCAGGACTATGCAATGTTTCTATAGATAGTGGTCCCCAAACCCTAAACCCTAAACCACCCATAGGGCCTCAGACGTAGTGGCCTTGGGTTAATTGAGAGTACACCTGAGGGGTTCATGGGACTTAGCAAGTACAGTTATAAGTACCCTAACTGGGGATATATCCAATTATAGGTGCAGTTACCTTATTTATAACCATAGTTACCAAGTCCCATGAACCTTTAAGTACTGCGGACCTGCCCGATGAATATGCAGCTGCTTATTCCGCTCGGGGCTGTTCGACGAAGCGTCACCAGAGCAAGAACGCGGTCGAGATCCTTTCCACCTCCAGGGGGAAGGATCAGAAACCCATATAGACAAAGGACACATCCCGCCCCAAATCATTTATATGGGTGGTTGTCAAAATTAGGGTCCCGATTTGGGTATTCTGAATATTAGGTGCCGTATTCTAATAAGGACCCAAAGAGGGACCCTAATATTAACAGCCACCCATTTGCATCGTCACCATCGACATCCGTCTGCCGAACCGACGCTGATAGCTGCCATGTTGCTATGATATTTTCCCTACCCCAGCAGGTAGTTGCCCGCAGATGGCTGTCAATGAATGTTTGTGGTTCTTGCCACTGCTGCCAGTACTATGAAAGTGCTATCTCAGACATGCTGACAGAACTGATACAACCATGGCTGCTTTGCGGAAGTAAACATGAAAGCATCACCTGCATCACGACACTTGCAGAAGAAGTAGCAGTCATACTAGTGGAGGTGTTGCTGCTGGCGCTAGCGGTAGCTGCAGCGGGGGGGCGGGGGTGGGGGTGGTCATGGTGCTAGTGAGAAGGAGTGGCAGCGCAGCTGAAGAAGCTAAATACTCAACCCAAAAATCTTAAACCCTAAACCCCCCAAAACACAAAGCACCTAGACCCTAAACACAGAGTCTCCAAAACCCTAAACGCTAAACCCTAAGCCCCTCCAAGACACTAAGCCCCTAAAGGGTTTGGCGGGTTTAGGGGTTTAGAGCGTTTACGGTTGAGGGGTTTAGGGTTTTGAGGGTACAGGATCAGGTGACTTCGTAAGTAAGCTTCAAAGAACATTGATTGGGGTTGTGGTCTTTCAAGATACGGTTACCCTTTTTCGTTATACCCTGGTTACCACGTGCCATGATGCGTTAAGTGGGGGCTTTGGGAGTTTAAACCCTGCCCTACTGCTCCTGGACCCTCGTAGTGAGATCCCAATCCCTAGCCCCCAAAGCCGAAATTCTCCCCGAGAAGGCCCAAGACCCTCTTACGAGCCTTAGGGTATAGTATGTAATTCGTATCATTAAGGCCCCTATCTGATTCTACCCTTGTAAATCCCTTATAGTAAGCCCTTTCGAACCCTTTAAAGGAACCCTAGTCCAATGGTACAACCTAAGGTTTTGAGTTTAGGAAGTCTATAGTAGAAGCCAGAAAGTTGGAACATGACTTTAGGAGGATTTGTGCTAGGATCCCTTATACTTTACCTTAAGGGCATGAGGCCAATGATGTTCCAACTTTCTGGCTTCTACTGTAGGGTTGCGATCTCTCAACTTCATTCTGGGACCTTAAAACCCAACCCTCACCTCGTAGCCTATAGGACCCTAAACCCATGCTATAGAACCCTTAAGGGAACCCTAGTTGAAATGATCCAAACCCTAACATGTCTTATTGGCATTTCAAATTGAAAAAGCCTAGACCCAAGAGTAACCCAGGAATAAAAAGGGTGCCCTTTTTGCTTTAAAGGGGCTTGTAAGGGAACCTGAACCCTAAAAAAGGGAATAAGGGCCTACTCTGGGTCCTAGAAGCGGCCTCCTGTCGTTTCTTGGTAGCCCAACCCGGGCCCCCGATGGCGGACGACGACCGCCATCCTCCACCGAAGAAGGATACGTAGAGGCCCAAGCAGTTAGGGAAGCAGACTTCTAGAGGAAACTCTTCTATGGTGGTGTTGCCTTTAGTTGTTGGGGTTCGTAGGGCTTTTTGTAGACTGGCCTTCAGAATTGGAAGAGTGTGGTGGGTATATTGTAAGTATACCCTCTCTCTCTACGTATATATATATATGTATAGATAGATAGATAAATAGATAGATAGACTCTGTTCTTTACTTATTCAGCTGCTGATCCAGTTACTGATCTGTTCACGTATTTTTACGTCCTGTAAGGAGATGCCCTTACTAGTTCTTCAGACCCTATGCTGCGGTTTAGATCTTGTGTGGGGTGGGACACTGGGGGAGCCCCGGGGTTTAGCAATTGGCGTGTAACTCTAAGAGTGGAGCGGAGGCCTCAAAAATGGGATGAAGGCAATTAGGCTGAAGGATCAGAGAATGGATGAAGGTAGGCAATTAGGATGAAGGATCCCTTATGTAAGAACTCGTAAATATTGGTAATATCCCACCTCACCTTTCGAGGCCTCTCTAGGGCTTTATTGCAGCACATTGCATGTTGAGCCCTCGGAATGTGCGGGTCCGAGGGCTGCTAAGCCCGACGGTCAGTACGGCTTCAGAGGGTTTTACTACATTTTAAGATTTTAAGGTTTAGGGAAGTTTAGGATTTTAGGCTTAACCCGACAAGCCTTAACCCCCAAAACCATGAGGCAACTCAAGGCACCTTCTACAACCTCGCAAAAGCCCACATAGAATCCTGCAACAACACTAAAAGGAACCTCAAAGGCAAAACTTATAGAAAGCACCCTACATCCTAAAGCTTAAACTTCAAACCCTAAACCCTGCAAACCCTGAACTCCAAACCCCCAAACCCTAAACCCCAAGACCCAGAACCCTCAACCCCTAAAGCCCTAAACCCTAAACTCTAAACCCCCAAACCCTAAACTCTAACCCCAAGCCCTAAACCCCTAAACCCCTAAAGCCCTAAAGCCCGAACCGTAAACTCGAAACCCTACAGGGGTTTAGGGTTTAGGGGTTTAGAGGTTTAGGGTTTAGGGGTTTAGGGGTTTAGGGTTTAGGGTTTGGGGTTTAGGGTTTAGGGACCCGAGCTTTGCGCCTGCGAAGCTCAGACACGAAGGGCCAACGCCGGAGAACGTGTAGGAGCTCTTGACCCTTCCCTGGGGCTTTAAGCTTCCTTAAAGGGCTCCTTTTAAGGGTTTAGGGTTTTAAGCTTCCTTAAAGGGCTCGTTTAAGGGTTTAGGGTTTAGGGTTCCTTCAAGGGCTCCTTTTAAGGGCTTAGGGTTTAGGGTTCCTTCAAAGGGCTCCCTTCAGGGTTTAGGGTTTCGAGGTTTAGGGGTTTAAGGTTTAGCGCCACTTAGGGCTTCCTCTAAGGGTTCCTTTAAAGCCTCCTTGAAGGGCTCCCTTAAGGCTTCCTTTAAGGGGCTGCGTCGGGTTTGGGATTTGGGGTTTAGGCTCCTTGAATCCAAGAGTAAAAGGAGGGAACCTTAACAAGGACCCCGAGGTATATACCCTTAATAAAGCCATTATATAGTCCATTATAGGGTAGGGGTCCCCATTAAGGGTCCCTCCTTTTCCCCTTTGATTAAAGGGTTTAGTGGTGTGAGGTTGGGGCTCGGTTGTTTAGGGTTCAGGGGTCTAAATGCTCTCGGGATTCGACAGATTTAAGAGGGGGTTGCGGGTTAAGGTCTCAAGGTTTGGGGGAAGGCTAGGGGTTCGGGGATTTAGGGTTTAGGGGTTCAGGGGTTCAGGGGTTTCCGGGCTTAGGGTTCAGTGTTGCGCTGCATGGGTTGGAAGGCATAGAAGCTCTGGCCAGTCAGCCTCAATTACAGGATCATGGGACTAAGTAACTAGTCACCGTGAAAATCTAAATCCTAAACTCCCTAAACCCCGAAACTTTTAAAACCCGAAGGCCCTAAAGCCCCGAAGTTCAACAGTGGCGACGAAAAGTCTATCGCCAAGACTCGTCGGAAAGCCAGATCGTTGGAGGATCGGCGGAGCTTTGTAAGTCAGGCTGTTGGCGATTAACCCTCAACCCTATAAACCCTAAACCCTAACCCTTAAACCCAAACCCTAAAACCCTAAAACCCTCAAGCCCTGAACCCTAGACCCTACACCCTAAAACCCTCAAGCCCTGAACCCTAGACCCTAAACCCTAAAACCCCAAGCCCCGAACCCTTCGACTGGCGTCTATCAAGGTCTGGCAAGGGGTGCGTCGGGTTGTTTGGGGTTCAGGGTCTAGGATGCCCAGTCACCTCGGAATAAAAAGGGCTCCCTTTTTGGTATTGGGTTGTAAAAATTTAAAGATTAATAAAAGAAGTATGACTATAATTAGGAGATATTATATAGAAAATAAAAAATGAAAAACAAAAGGTATTTAACCTAGATTTGATACATTAACTTTGTAAGGAACTCAGAACTACAAAAAGGGAATAAGGGTACTACTGGGCATCCTAGGGGTTAATGCGGCCTTTAAGAATTGGAACGGTGAATTAGGGATCCTACTAATGTAAGAACCTAATTAAGAAACCCTGGGCCTATAACACCAAAATAGTAGGATTCAGATAAGGAGCCCTAAAGAAGGCCCAAGGTTCTTAATCAGGTTCCTACATTACAAATTTAAAGTATGTGGGAGTCTCCGCAAATAGGGGACCCCAATATAGTCCCTAAATAGTAAGATCCTTACTATAAGGATCCCTAAATACGGTCCCCCTGATTTTCGGAACCCCTTAACCCTTGTAGAACCCTTTAAATGAAACCTTATACTACCCTTGTAGTAGCCCGTTAAAGGAACCCTAAGGAAACCCCTGGGTTGTCAGAGACTCCCATATTCTTAAATTAAGGGATATGGGTTAGGAGCTGCCCCCACCCTGTAATAGTGACCATTTGCCGAACCATAAGGGTTATATAGGATTATATTAGGGCCCTATTATATTCCTATTATACCACTATTACAGGGTGGGGGCAGCTTCTAAGATATGGGACGGTCCGGTCCTAAACCCTAGAGTCCTTAATTCCCCGCGAGGCGTAAAGCCAAAGCCCGAAACACTTTCAAGCGTTTAGTTCTTTTTGTGTTTAGGGTTTAGGGTTTAGGTTGAGGGTTTAAGTACCGTAACACCTATACGAAGGTTATAGGAGTTAGGATTAGAGGGACCCTTGGGGATATAGACCCGCTTGATAAGGTCCCTGTTCGGAGAGCCCCCGTGGTGGGGTTGAGAAGGGTCCCCGCTAAGGGGTCTCCCTGATACTACCTAGGGTAGTCAGGGATACTTTTTCAGGATACCTCGCAAAGAACAGCAAAGAACACGTATATTATAGATCCCTTCAAGAAACCCTTGTATGGGAGTTTCCGAAAATAGGGGACCCTAATATGGTACCCTATATAGTAGGATCCGTATTATAAGGACCCCAAAGTAAGGTACCCCTATTTTTCGGAAACTCCCGTATAGATCCCTTAACGGATACCTGGGATAGTAAGGGATACTGGGAAGTCAAGCCCTGATCTGGCCTGTCTTCGATGTGATCAGATCTGGCGCTTTCATCAGCCAGCGGATCGCCTCCAACTTATCGAAGGGTCGAGGGAACCCTAAACCCTAAAGCACAGGAACAAGTAGGGTTATAAACTAAAAAACCCTGACAGGGATCTTGATTGGGATAATTATGATAAGTTTTTAAGATACATAATTACGAAGTCCCCAGACCCTCCAAGAAAGATTCGGGGTTTAGGGCCGACGTCTAGTAAGGGAGGCTTATCATCAGAATTGCCGATAAGGGCTTCTTTTGTAGGGTTTCTATGAGGGATCCATAAAGGCTCTATGATAGGGAGCAATACTGATTCGAAAGGGGCTTTAGGGTTTAGGGTTTAGGGTTCAGGGGTACATCACAGCACACAAAAGTACAGGGGAATCTTGGCACCAACTCTGCTTTTGGTGACGATGTGGTCGTTGCTGATGTCGGTAGCACCGATGAAGTTGAAGCCATGACCATGGCGATTGTAATAGTGACAAGTCTTGTGATGCCGCTGACGATGGCGCTGCTGATGACATAGATCTATGACGAGTCTCACCATGCTGGCGAAGCCCCATCTCGAGCTGCCAAAACCTACTTTGTTTGTAGGGCACCAATAAATTCCACAGTATACTTATGGTGTTTTAAGCTGAACCCTAAAGCCTAAACCCTGATTTTGTCCCTGCAAGGCTCTCCTTCTTAGTGTCACAAAGCGTGTGCGAGTGTCTGAGATCAGGCCCGTCTTTCGTTACTCAGTGCAGTGCATACTATAGTATAGGGGCCTCAAGAGATAGAACAGGGCCGCCGTAAAAGGTTTTAATCCAAACGATTAGTTCGCAATAAGGGTTTGGTATAGGGGCCCTTCACAAGTAGAATATGGTTTTTGGAGTATACCATGCTGAAAGTATAAAATGGCAACCAAAAGCAATAGCTTCTATAGCACCTGGTGTTTCATACTGGCCTGATGTGGGCTTTTCATGCAACGAGTGTCTGAATTGCTCGAAGATCTTAGGGGCTACCCCAAACTCTAAACTCTGCAGCCCTACATCCCAAAAGCCCAAACCCCTGAGGCAGCCTTTCTCCAAGCTCTGCGAATGCGGGTGGTTGTCAAAATTATGGCACCTTTTTGGGCGCCCAAAATATTAGTTGCCGTATCATAATAAGGACCCAAAGAGGGACCATCATTTTGACAACCACCCTCATGAAGCTTTCTTGCTGGATGAATACCACGACCCCCGGGAGGATCTAGAAAGTAGATCCCCTAATTTGGGGCCCTATACTACTAAGGGTACTTGATAGGAACCCCCCCATTAAGGGATCTACTTTTTGGATCCTCCCGGGGGTCTGGGTACTGAACTCTGAGCTCATGTGAAGTCTGTGCTTCTTGTAGGTCCTTAAGGGAGGGTGGTTCAGGGGGGGGGGGGGCACAAGGGATCCTTAGGGGACTGTAAGGGAACCTTAGGGAGTACTGGGGAGAATTAGGGATCACTAGGCTATATACCCCCTTGGACCACCCTCCCTTAAGGATACTACAATGCTTCCTGCGGTCCGAAAACACAATCGATCGCAGGTTCGCGGCCGGGGCAAGAACTGCTCATTTCTGTCGCCTTTAGTGGTTTAGTGTTTAGGGTGAGGAGTTTAAGAGTTTAGGGGTTTCGGGGTTTAGGAGTTTAGGGGTTTAGGGTTTAGGGGTTAGGAGTTTAGGGGTTTAGGGGTTTAGGAGTTTAGGGGTTTAGGGTTTAGGGGTTAGGAGTTTAGGGGTTTAGGGGTTTAGGGGTTAGGAGTTTCGGGGTTTAGGGGTTTAGGGTTTTAGGGTTTAGGGGTTTAGGGTTTATAGGGTCCTAAACCCCAGACTCTTAGGGTTTAGAGCTCTAGTGTCTTACCAGAAGGGTTCTTGGCTTTTGGGTTCCGGGCTTGGCTTCGCCCGGCACGTCGGCATTCGCTGACCCTACGAGTACACATCTCTATGCTGGCTGTAATTAGTTTAGGGTTTAGTGTTTACTGATACCATCTGGGTACTGCCCCCGCCATGCAACAGTCTATATTGGGGTCATATGAAGGGCTATTAACAAAAAGTATGTTGTGCATACAATATGGGAGTTTCCGGAAATGGAGGACCCTAATAGAGTACCCTGAATAGTAGGATCCTTAGTATAAGGACCCCAAAATGAGGTACCCCTAATTTTCGGAAACTCCCATATAACTGTTGCAGAGCGGGCCAGTTCCCGACATATAGGATCAGAGGCAGCATGCCCGGCCCAAATCCGCATTGCTAGCGGCGGTTTAGGATGTATCGTGTGGGCTTTGCTAGATGTACAAGTCATCATGAACGCTTCACGTGGGTAATTGTTCCAAATCGTGGTCCCTCCGAGGAAAATTGCATAGAAATCTACTTTTGGTACGGCACCCTGAACATAGTTTGGGAATCTTCAGGGGGACACTAATTTGGACCAACCCACGTTCAAGCAACTGCTCACCCAGGCAGACCCGGGGGAGCAGGTCTAGGCAGCTTTAAACGATGCGCTGTCACTCACTTTTCGTGATTCCGGTTACCACTCCGGGTCCCAAGGATCCTCTTTGGGTTTAGGGGCTTAGGGTTTAGGGTTTAGGGTTTAGGGTTTAGGGGTTTAGGGTTTAGGGGTTTAGGGTTTAGGGTTTAGGATTTAGGGTTTAGGGTATGATTTCTTTGAAAAGTAAAAAGGAAGGTTATTTGGGGTTAAGGTAGAGCTGAGGGTTTCCAACCCATTCGGGAGGATCTAGAAAGTAGATCTTCTAATTTGGGGCCCTATGCTCCAGGGGTACTTTATAGGAACCCCCCCATTAAGGGATCCACTTTTTGGATCCTCCCGGTGCTCTAAGTTAGGGTTTAGGGCTTAGAGGTTAGGGTTTGGGGGTTCAGGGTTTGCAGGGTTTAGGGCTGAATGATGGTATACCCTTGTCCCTAATGTTCAGTTGAGGCCTTCATACAAGAACTGCACGATGGACGATTGATAAAAGGGTACTACTGGGCTTCAGGTACCCCCTGGTTTGAAACTGTCTACACCCCTTACTTGGAGGATCATCGGACATAGTAATTAGGTTATATTTGAGGTTATAATACGTCCCCTAACTGGGGATATCCTAATTATATCCTACTTATAACCTTACTTACTAAGTCCCATGAGCCCGCAAGTATAGATCCCCTTATAGAACCCTTGCGGGACCCTGCAGCACCCGATTAAAACCATGCAAAACCACCTTTAAAACCCTCACAAACCCCTGAAACATGCTAAAATAGAGGCCCTAATAATTAGAATAGGATTTTGGGGGCCCATTATACTGGACTTACTATAAGGAGACCCAAAAATAGTCTTGGTAATCATTTAGGCCCCTAAAGTACTCAAAACTTGCCAAAAATCCAATGAGATCCCCACAGACGGGATCCACTCGGAGAACCAGAGTGTGCCACCATTGATACAGCTCTCGTAGCACCGACCGTGGGTCTGCTGCCGTGCAAAGAGGGTTTGGGGTTGGGTTTAAAGCAGGTTTTGGGGGGCTCAGGGTTTAGGGGCTTACTGGTTTAGCGAATTGGGGTTTATCGGAGTAAGATTAAGGTGTATGCTTGCCTATACTCTCCAATCTTGTTGCTTTTTGGTTTCCTCGCTTTATTGTCTTCCTTGATTTGTTTGTTACAAAACGGTTGGAACCATAAAATTGGCAAGCCAAAGCCAGAACTCCACGTTGGAGAGTCATGACTGTGCGTGGCTCGCGATCCTGTGCATGCATTCAGATGCCTGTGAAGGGCGGAGCTTGTCCAAGCATGTCATTAAGCCTTGGGGAGCTACATCTCCAGTACTAGACCAAGAAGCAACCTAGGAAAAAATGCTGCCCTATTTGGTTTAAAGGTTATAAGGGAATCTAAACCCCTAAAAAGGCCATCAGAGCCTGCTCTGGGTGCTAGGCTACATCTCCATTGTCCCAAACCCTCAACCCTAGCGCTCTAAGACCTAAAACAGTGGCGATGTAAATATTATAGGGGCCTTAATTATTAGAATAGGATTTGGGGCCCATTGTACTATAACTTTAACAAGGAACCCCCAAAAAACAATATCGGTAATTGTTGAGGCCCTATATTAGGGTTGCGTTGAATGTTCGACTCTGGTCCGTCACAGGCAGTTGAATGTTCGACTCTGGTCCGTCACAGGCAGGTCGGCGAAACTGACGATGTGAACTGGGCTTTGAAGTAACCAGGGAGAAAAAAATATTGACTTTTATTTCATAATGCTTTCCCTTTTTTCAGGGAAGCATTATGAAATAGAAGTCTCAACTTTAAGTGACAGGTCCAAAACAAGTATCAAAGCATGATACTCCAATGCCCAGTGTGAGGGTCCCTGATGGACCCTACATCTGTTTCACTTCTACTATAGGGGCCTTGAGAAATAGCATGGGGCCTTGGCGTATATTATAGTATGATTATGTCGGGACTTTTACCCTTAGGCTCTAAGGACTCATTTGTTTAAGGCTTTTGGGCCCAAAGACCATACTATATGAGGCTTTTGGGCTATTTTGAGCCCTCGGGTTAAGGAACTGATTTTCAATCCGACCCCTATATTACATGTTGTGGACCAGCTGCTGGTCAGAGAATACTAAGCTTCCTGCACGAAAGCTTGCAACTGGCCGTGGAATGACTCCCTTCAGCACTAACCAAAGGGCAGACTGCGCGCAGAAAGGTCGATGGGATACACAGCTTTTGACTGTCGAGCTACACAGCGCAGCTTCCACCAAAAGATTTCCCGGCCCGAGTACAACGGAGGTAAACCCGCTTGTGGCTTGCGGGATCTTCCCCCTTTGGACGCAACGTCCTGAGTTTCGAGGGCCCCAAAAACAACATCAGCACAATAATTTTACAGGGATAATCTTACCATCATTGAGGGCTTATATGGATATCCCTGGCCTAGGGCCCCCACGGTCGGAACGGGAACGATCACCAATGAAACTCCACTGGAAGGAACATGGGACTTGATAAGTAAGGCTAGAAGTAATTTCTTCAACTGGGGTGAGAAGTAGTTAGCTACACGTCTTCTAGTTGCCTTGTTTGGTATTCTTTACTAGGTCCCATGATCCTTCAAGTACGATGTAACTCGACTGGCTACTCCGAGACTTACCATCTCGGTCACCGCCATAGCTAATTACAGCATGCATGGCACGAGCCTGTCCCCCATCAGATGCTGCGCCGCTTGCGAATACAAGTCTCGAAGAACGGGATGTGTTGATTGGGAAAATGAAGCTTAAACCCTAAACCCCTATATTCTAAAAACCCTAAACTAAACCCTAAACCCTAAACCCTAAACCCTAAACCCCTATATTCTATAAACCCTAAACTTCTGATACCGGATCGGCAGTTTCGCAGCATCTCTCGGAGGAAGCAGAATACTAGAGCGCTAGCGGCTGCCCTTTCAGGAAGGATTCGAGCTCAAGCTCATCCAACCCATCCTCGAAACCTTAGTTGCTGAGTTCATAGGCCCCAAAAATTAAGCGTACACTTTTGGTCTTATAGCGGGTAATAGTATCCCCAAAAGCAAAAAAGTGTATCTGCTTAGCTACTAAGAAACTGCCGACTGCCACCTGACCATTGGCTTCACCTGCGGTGGCAAGTGAACCCCTGGCCTCGACGTCTGCTTGTGCCTGCAGGTAGCTTGTCAGCAGAGTGCGTGCATACGCACTCTTGCGAGCGAAGCGCTGCAGCTCGTCATGAGCCCTGTCCGGCGAACTCTCCCGACTTTGCAGGATATTCAACCTATACTGAACTTAGAACCCTAGCAAAATTATAAGTTTATCTGTTTCTTAGGGATTATAATAACCAAAAATTCAAAATTGTTCCTAAGTGCCCCTAAGCAACATGGTCCTTGTCAGCCTCATGCGAATTTGTTTTCCCGGCCTCTGTGGGCGAATCTCCAAGCTCTGCCTGTGAATGTGGCAATATGGACAAGCGCGCCTCTGACAGCCAGCAGCAAGTGCAAAGAATACACAAGGATCACAAGATCCCAACTCGTGCGGCATCGCATAACGCTCATGTTCTGTATGACGCTCAGCCTGACTCTGAGAGTCTTCAATGGGAACTTCTCTGTCCGATGTCGATGCCGCCGGCATTCAGCCCTGCAGCTTCTACCTAATAGAGCTAGAGCTGGAACTGGAACTGAGCCGTTGCGGCAGCAAACGCGAGTTGCTGAAGCACTAGAATCGACACCAAGGCCGTCTTCACCCAGAATTGTTGGCTCATGCCGTTGGTGCAAGTTGCATGTCTAGCACTAACCTACTCCCCCCAATAGAACACAGAAATAGAAGCTTATACTTTCCGATCCCTACTAAACGAAAAGAACCCAATAAAGTTTTGAGGTTGGGTATTGCGGATCTAGGCCAAGGGTCTCGGTATGCTTGTGTTCGGATGCGAAGCGTGCAGATGGCTCCAGCGTGGTGGTGGTGGTGGTGGTGGTGGTGGTGGTGGTGGTGGTGGTGGTGGTGGTGGTGGTGGTGGTGGTGGTGGTGGTGGTGGTGGTGGTGGTGGTGGTGGTGGTGGTGGTGGTGGTGGTGGTGGGAGTCTCGAACTGAATCATCGACTAATGGCTTACCTATAGTCACCATTGTAGTTCCTTTGTTGGTTACCTCGAAACAGGATCTAGACATGTAAGCGGTAAATCAAAAACAGAACTACCACAGAGACTATACAGGTAGCTTACGTTTCTGACTCCCTCAGGAAGAAGCAGATACAACAAGACATCAGAGACCTTTGAGTGTGCAAACGCCGGCTTCGATTCCAGGAAACGGTCTGAACCCGGATGGTGTGTGGCGTCAGCACCTCCATCAGCCTCTGAAACCCTAAACCTTGATTAAACCAAACTCACTGCCGTCCAAATCCTACAAGCCTCTACGATGAGCTGATGGCGGGTTTTGGAGGTCTACAAACGGACTAACCTCGGGGAGCTGAAAACTTGGGATGCAGGCAGGTATGGCTGAGAATCTCCGCGCTCCCTGCCCTGCCGGGAGGTCCATGTACCCAAATAGTATATACTTTGGCCGTAAAGTAGTCCCTGCATGGGGGCCAAAGTCTATACTATTTGGGTACATAGACCCTTAGGGCTACTAACTACCTAAGGGTTTAGGGTTTAGGGTTCGAACTGCTACTATAGTAGTTAGGTAGTTGGTAAGTATCAAAGTGGTATCTTGGTGTAGTAGTCGTATAGTATACCACCATACCACTATAAAGGGAACTCCAGAAAGTTGGAATATGGTTTCAGGGTAGGATACCTTATAATTTACCATAGAAGGCTTAGGATAATCATATTCCAACTTTCTGGCTTTTACTTTACGACTTAGAAGTTCCCCAGCTACGTCGACGTTCATCCCACCCTTAGAACCCCCCCACATGGGTGGTTGTCAAAATTAGGGTCCCTTTTTGGGTCCCTAATATAGTACGGCACCTAATATTTAGGGGTACCCAAAAAAGGACCCTAATTTTGTCAACCGCCCGCATGTCTCCAGCCGCCTGGAGGGAGGCTTTTTCCAAAGGATCGCCCACCACCTGTCTCGGGGATCTTGGTTTAGGAGTTCAGGGTTTATATGATTTATAAGCAGGGGTTTAGGGTTTATAGGGTTTATAGGTTTCTAGGGTTTGTAGGGTTTTAGGGATCATAATCCATCCCTTAATTAGGGAATATGCCTTACGTAATATTTGGAATCCTACAATAATTTACGGCATATTCCTTCGTTGCGGGAAATTGGAGTCTCTGGGTTCTTGATTTCGGATACCGTAGTAAGGATCTGCGGTAAATGTTGGGGTTTCATAGTTCTCGATTTAGGATACTTACCAGAAAGGGGCCTTAACCAAAATACTGGGTTCTTGTTAAGGGATTTCATTTAAGTTACCAGAGTAAGGAAGCCACATTATCTACCATGGATCTCTATTAGGGTAACTTCAATTAAACTCCTCAAAAAAAAGCAAAATAAGGGTTTGGGGGATACCCTAGTGCAACTATGCAAGGAGTGTAAGGGCATATTACTTCGAACTATTCAAACCTTCATCTACTGAGCGTTTATGCTCCTACTACTTTGGGGTGTGCCTTCGGGTCGCGATTTTTTCGGAAGCGCCCATGGGGGTGCAAAGGGTTTTGCGTTTAGAGCTTGCTTGCTACCGTGCCGACTCAATCGCAGAACAGCCTCGTCTGGGCTCTTGTTGAAGAACTATCCCTAAACTCGAAACCGGATTAAGTTACCATGATAATGAGGAAGACCTGGCTTTTCACTGCTACAGATCCATATTATGGTAACTTCAGCAAAGGGTGTCGCCCTCATGCGCCCTGAACCGTAGGTAAGCTTATAATACCAACGACAAAAGCAACAGAAAACATCCACTAACACTGATACCAATACCAATACGAATACGAATGCTAATTCCAACACTAAAATAACAAACAAGCACTACTACTACTACTACTACTACTACTACTACTACTACTACTACTACTACTACTACTACTACTACTACTACTACTACTTCTACTTCTACTTCTACTTCTACTTCTACTTCTACTTCTACTACTACTACTACTACTACTCTTACTACTACTACTACTACTACTACTACTACTACTACTACTACTACTACTACTACTACTACTACTACTACTACTACTAGTACTACTACTAGTAACAAAACCAACAATGCCAATACAACGACGACGACAACTACCACTACTACTGCTGCTGCTGCTGCTGCTGCTACTGCTACTGCTACTGCTAGTGCCGGTGCTAGTGCTAGTGCTAGTGCGTGAGTGCTAGAGTGCTAGAGTGCTAGAGTGCTAGAGTGCTAGAGTGCTAGAGTGCTGGAGTGGTAGAGTGCTAGAGTGCTAGAGTGCGAGAGTGCTAGAGTGCTAGAGTGCTAGAGTGCGAGTGCTGGTGCTAGTACAAGCACTAGTGCTAGTGCTAGTGCTAGTGCTCCTGCTGCTACTACAGTACCAAGAAATACTAATAACAATAGTCAAAATCATGATCATAGTAACAATAACACTGATACTAACAACAACCATGAGAATAAGACTGATTATGATCATGCTATTTTCATGACCCTATACCACAGCTGCAGTACAGTGCCAGTGTGCCGACCTCGAATCTCGTTGGTGGGGAGTGGTGGGGTTCCTTTCAGGCTTCGTTTACAGCACGGGCTGCAAATCCGATCTACGAGGGTTTATTGCTATATCAGGAGCTCCATGGCATAGTATGCATAATCATTGGGCCAGGCTCCAATGTTACGGGGGAATCAAACCCTGAACCGTAACAAAACACCCTAAATCCGAAGGGCGCGGATACATGACTTTAAACCCTGAACCCCTAAACCCTAAACCCCTACACCCTAAACCCCTAAATCCTAGAGCCTGAACCCTAAACCCTACACCCTAAACCCCTAAACCCCTGAACCCCAAAGCTTTCTTTGAGAAACTCGGACCTCGCCCTCAACCACGGTGAGCCCGTTGCAGGCAGCCATCACCGCGGTGGAAAGGAAAGGGAGCCTCCGACTCAGGGGTTAGGGTTTAGGGGTTTAGGGGTTTAAGGGTTTAGGGTTTAGGGGTTAGGGTTTAGGGTTTAGGTTCAGGGCTTAGGGGTTTAGGGTTTAGGATTTAGGGTTTAGGGTTTAGGACTCAGGGTTTGGAGTTTACAGTCCCAAAGGGTCCTATGTACTGATATGGGGAATACTTCCTTAATCATAACAGTGATTCCAAATATGAAAACTCCGGCTTAGGGTTTAGGGTTTACAGTAAACCTGAGAAGGGGCCCCACCCTGTAATAGTGACTATACGGATTATATTACGGCCCTATTATGTTCCTATTATACCACTATTACAGGGTGGGGGCCCCTTCTAAAGTAAGGGTTTACCTGGACCCCAAGGAACCTGCCTTTTTAGGGTTCCCTAATATGATTTCTTTATATAAATCCTTGAAAAGGTAGGTTACTTGGGGTTAAAGTACAGTAAACCCTATACAGTCGGAAACCTGATTAAGGCCAAATAGTGCTGGGATTCCTTATGCTATTACTCTTAAGGATTGAGGCTATGGGCTTTCCAACTTTCTGGGATTTGCTGTAAGTGAGTTCATAGGCCTTTGACATGCTTTTGCTCGTGTGGATTTGGGATTTAAGGTTTATGATTGTTTCAGGTTCCTTCAGGGATCCCTGTAAGGGCTGTATAGGGGGGGGGGTCTGCAAGGGCTTGGGGTTTGTAGGTGTTGAGTTCAATTGTTCTGGATTTAGAGGTTCAGGGCTTGGGGGTTTGGGGTTTTAATTTAGATTGTAATTTGGGGTTTACGAATTCAGGGTTTAGGTTTATGGTCTGGTGCCGAGGGGAGTTTAGAGCTTTGGCTTTAGGGGGTTGCGGGTTAAAGTTTAGAGATTGCGTCAGGGCTTTAGCACTCATGGTTTGGGCTGCTGTCTTCAGAGCACACGAAGGCTTTCTGCTTCTGACTGTCGCAACGAAACCTTCAGAGGCTGAAAACTCCACAATGCGGGAGTCTAATACAGGGGCCTTAACCATTAGAATGGGGTTTTGGGGGCCCATTCTACAATACTGATAATAAGGACCTCCCTAAAACAGTACTAGTAATGATTTAAGCCCCCATATTACAGGGCCTTGTGCTTGAGAATAAATCGAGCAACAAAGAGGCCGCAAGTCGGCAAGAAGTCTCCTGTCCAGAGAACTTGCCTTTGGTTAGTCTCAACGAGGAAAAGGAGGGACCCTTAATTGAGACCCCTACCCTATAGTGGGCTATATAATGGGTATATAATAGCTACATTAAGGGTATATACCTAGGGGTCCTCATTAAGGGTCCTTTTACCCTTGGATAGTAGGGAATGGAGGAATGGGGTACAATTATGACTACTATTACTACCATTCTTCGATTCCCTACTAACCAAAGGTAAGAGAACAGCTGGTTCATGGTTGGGACAGGATAAAAAATGTACATGTTCATCCCTTATTTGGGTTTACGTACCCATGAAAATGTAAAATGCTGCCCAACTCTAAACCCTGAAGCCTAAACCCTGCAGGTTCGAAGCTAAGTTACTTCCCTCGGCTAGCCAGCTCAAAGGTTGCACCCGCAGTGCAGCAACCAAGCGGTATCCAAGGGTTTAGGGTTTAGGGTGAAATGACATTTGAGACTGGTGGTAAACTTAACCGTGGATGGCCTTAAACCTCAGAACCCTCAACCAAAACCTCTGACAACCCTCCTGCCCGTCCCTAAGTCGGGTGGCTTCTGCTGGAGAGGAGGAGACACCACATCTCTCACCTGTCCGTCGTTTCATGCCAGAACCTACGCATGTGTATCTTCAGACTTATGTAAACAAAAAAGATACCGATTCATGTTCTACATGTATGTAGATCCACTAATGCCTATCTATCTGTCTGTCCGTCTATCGACCAATCCAAACCGAACAAATGCATACACACATGCAGATGCCGTCGGTCCGTCTTAAATCTAATTCTATGGGCACAGACAAAGATCAGACAGCAAGCAACCGACCTAATCTAGGGCTATAAGGGCCTGGCTGGTTTTAGTAGGTATCTGGTGTACATGTACTATACAAATAGAAGCAACAATAACGACTGTAACAATAATAATGATAATAATAACAATAATCATCATCATCAATCATCATCATCATCAAAATCATCACCAACATACTAGTAATGATAGTCTGGACTACAAGGATATGCTCTTTCTATGTATTCCAACGGTCCCAGAACTCAACAGTTGGATAAACCAACGAAACTGAGGAACTGCAATGGAGACTGTAGGTAACTATAAACCCTAAAGCCTCAACCTTAAGCCTTAAGCCCCAAAACCTAAACCCAAAACCCTGACCTCTCTATGAAGTTCAAGATTTAGAGCTCAAGAGAAGCCCCCGACAGTCTAACACATGAGCTTCAGGATGTGGGCGCTTAGGCAATTTCTAGACACAGGCTGCTGTTCATAGAGCGGCTGCGCTCACAACTCAATACTCCTTTATCAAAAAGTAACATGTATGCCTTCATAAGAATGCTATGGATCTTTTCGCCATCTAAGAAGTATCAGTAGGACTCATCTTACCACCTACAGTGCCTGCTGCGCAAGTAGGCTTGGACAGGACTAGTTGCGAGGTTGTAAAGACGAGCCTGAACGCTAAGAGTGTTTTGGGTAGTTTTTCTATATGTATATGAGAAATCCCTTAAGATATTACGGTATCTGTGTTCAGACCCCCATGTCATGCTCATCCCTGTATAAGAACGCAACAGCCCTAAACCCTCAAACTACCCAAGTGCCTCCTTCTCATCCACGGCCTCCACCAGTGGCGGGGCGGGGTACTCCAGACCGTGCACCCCACCAACCTGACCAACATGCTCGGGTTTCAAGTGGGCAGGGACCGAAAGGTGAACCTGAACCCCTAAGCCAGGAAGGACTTGAACAAATGTGTTGCGCTTGGGATCGCCGGAAATTTGCAAGGCCCTAAACCCTAAACCCCTAAACCCTAAACCAATGGACTGTTATTGCAAAGGGATTGACCCACGCCATGGGTCATTAAAAACAAGTTCAGCTTCCCTTCAGCTGAAAGTCCAAACAACATAATGTACTTAAGAAACCTTGGGCCTTTACTAGGGTTCCTTGTATGAATCCTACTGTTTGGGGTTTATAGACCCAGGGTTTCTTAATCAGGTTCCCACCATTACCCTTATTCCCAAGTGCTGTACCCCTATACTGCATCTTTTGGCTGCGCCCACAGGCGGGCAGCGCAGGTAGAAGCTTGGAGCAAGGCCACCCACCCGCCCTCCGCCGAACCCCGCTGATGGTGATGATGCGTGCCCTTTGGGGCCTACTCAAAAATTAGCAAAACATCGCCCCGCGCCGCAGGGCTGGTTCCGGGCGCCCGAGTGCTCATGATGCTCGCCGGCTGGCCTCCTGAAGTCGTCCACGGCGGCCCCGAAACCCACCATAGCCTGGGGAATGGCTGCGAAACGCGTGCGTGTTCCCAAAGGCCTGCGGGCGAGGTCCCGCGCGGCTTAATGGAAAAATAACGAGGGTCCGATGAAGCAGGGTCGGCGGCACTGTTCGTCGTGCCTCTTGCTAATGCACAGCTAGATGGCTATAATTACTCGCCCAAGGCCAAACTCACACAGGACGCACGCGCTCGGGGACCGAGCGCTGCCCAATTTTCTGAGGATGACGACCTGTCGCCGACACTCCTTTAATGAACTTGAAACCGATCAGCAAACCCTGAACCCCATAGATACCTACCCAACCCATGGACTCTAGCACATTTGGATCTTGGGTAACATATGCTATGCTTAGGAATCCACGAGAGTAGCCAAAGAACGGTACCACACTTCAGGGTCCGGAGGGGGCCCAAAAGCTTCCTCGTCTGTGTTTCTAGAACCTCAACAAGGACGCTGCGAAATTCTTGGTCTAGCCGTTGAAGTTAATGCGTCAGCAGCTGGGCGAACCACCCAAAATCACGCTTTGAAAGGCCTCTGAACGTTCGCAACGCACTCTAAAACCTCTCTAGACTCTACACACCCTATGAGCCACGATTTGAAATCACAACTCGCACACACACACACACAAAAACAAAACAAAAAAAAACATATCCTCACGAACGCCCGTTACATCGGAGATTCCCGGTCCCTAAAAACCTGTAAAGTCTTAACCATCTAACTCTCAGACAAGAGCCTAAACAAAGCCCTTCAATCAAACACCAACATAGAGGAGCCGTCTCATATAGCTACCTACACTAATATATGCTAGAGCATCCTTTTCTAACTAGTCAGGCCGCTATACCGAGTCTGAACCCGAAGCCCCCAAACCCGCTGAACTCGCAAGCCTTAACTCCTAAACCCTGAGCACCAAAACCCAGAAATCCTAAACCCGATGTATAGTCTTATATGGGAGTTTCCCAAAATAGGGGACCCGAATATAGTACCCGAAATACTGGGATCCGTATATAAGGACCCCAAAAGAAGGTACAGCCTTGATGCAGGTGCCTTTATAGTGGGTGGGGTCTACTTATCATAAGAGAAGCACCCAAAACCCTATCTTGATTACCAAAGGCCCTATATTATAGTACCCTTATACAGATCCCTTATAGAACTCTTAAAAAAGGGACCCTTTAAAGGAACCCTATTCGAAATATCAAGGCGATGCGGGCCTCCATGGAGTCGCTCGTGAGCGTCCCGGTCTTGTCGAAGCAGCATGTTTGGATCCTCGGTTTAGGGGCTTAGGGTTTAGGGCTTAGGGCTTAGGGTCTTTTCTTTTTAAGCACCTTTTTCCATCTGCAGAGAGTCCCTCCTCGTAGGAAGCCTTATCTTGGGGGCTTAGGGTTCAAGCCTCGAGGGTCTCTGGGCTTCGTCGGATTCTATCAAACTCCAAGGGGTATTTCTGAGTCTGCTATGGAGGGTGGGTCTTTATAGGCTTCTCTTTCGAGGTCATGTATGGGGTTCTGCAGCTTCTTTCCGGCACGGTTCCACAACGGTGTCATGTGCCAAAGCCTTGGGAATCAGGGATCGGAGGTTCATCTTAGGGAATCTAGGATGATCTAGGACTCAAGGCCAATGGATTATCTCAGCCCATTACATCTTCTACAGGGTTTGTTCCATCTTGAAGGAGGTATCAGAATCATGGTGTTAGGGGGCCTAAGCTATATGGTTTGAGGTGTCAGGAATTAGGATTCGGGTGTCGGAAACCTGGTTTCACGATTAGGGACGTAGGGCTGTAGGATTAGACTAAGTGCTGCTTGGAAATGCGAATCTGGAGTTTGGTGCTCAGGGGTCTACGGATTTCGGGTGCAGGGTTATGATCAGCGCAGCCACGACTTTGGGAGACAAGGAGGGTGCCTTGCCGTTAATAGTTGGCGTAGCGTGCTGTGATGTAATATAGCAACCCTCAGCTGCCAGAAATCCCCAAACTCTATCTGGACCCCAACGAACCCACCTTTTCAGGGCTCCCTAATAGGATTTCTTCATATAAGTCCTTAAAATGGGTCGGTTGTTTGGGGTCCAGGTAAACTCTACAAGTATGCCAGGGAAATGCTCCGAGCCTCGCCGGAGAGACCTGAACAAGGCTATTCTTATAGGATCCTTAAGGGGGGGTGGTTCAAGGGGGGAGGGTACTAGGGAGCTTTGGGGAACCTTAGGGAAGCTTAGGGAGTATTGGGGAATAATGGGGATTACTAGGTTACCTACCCCCCTTGGACCACCCCCCCTTAAGGACATCCTAATGAACAAGGCTATTCAGTGCAGTCGGGTCGCTGCCCAGCCAAAGGCACCCTGACGGAGGGGAAGGCTTCCCGTTCGGGGATCTTACGAATAATCTCTCCTTGTCGTCCTGAATCTAACTGTAAGACAATGCACCACCCCTAAACCTCAACCCCGAAACACTAATAAAGCCCAGACCTTGTTCGAATTATTGAGCCCCCTAATGTAGGAACCTGATTAAGAAACCCTGGGCCTACAACCCCAAAATAGTCGGATTCATACTTAATAATAAGGACCCTTAATAACGGCGAAAGGTTTCTTAATCAGGTTCCTAAAACTCTGAATCCTAAGCCCTAAGTTCCTACATTACACTCGACATAGTCATGTTGTAGGGCTGTTCTCCGAGCTTCCTGGACGTTGAATTGCGGGGCTTCGGGTCTTAGGCCTCAGGCCTTTGCTATCTTCGAGGTAATTATGTTGTTGGGCTGTCCGTGCAGGGTTATCAAAGCATTTTGGGCTTTGAATTGCGAGGCTTAGGGTTTTTGGGGCTCAGGCCTTTAAGCTTTCAAGGGCTTGAGGATCAAATTGTAGGCGCCTACCTGCTTTCGGGTCGCTTCCGCTCCGCGCTGACGTTTTATTTCGTTGTGTAGCAGCATATGCAAATTGATGTGGCGTGCTTTTGCTGGCCAGCATGATGATGATGATGATGGTGATGGTGATGATACTGCTGCTGTTGTTGATGTTGATGCTAGTGGTTACGGTGAAGATGATGATGACAATGAGGATAATGATGATGGTGAAGATGATGATGCTGCAGGTGATGATGTTGTTGATGATGAGTATGATGGTGATGGTGGTAATGGTGATGACGACCATGATCATGAAAAATATGTGGAGGTTGTAGAGGATGCAGAAGATGTAGATGCGAATGTTAAAAGTTGATGATGACGGCAGCGAAACCGTGATGATGATGATGATGATGGTGATGATGATGATGATGATGATGATAACGATGAGGGCGAGACTTGGGATGACGACAGTGGTTGGAATTATCCTAAAGTCTAAACCCGAATGAGGGATATTAAGGTCGCAGCGCAGGGACGCCTTTCGGTGCCCTTTCCTGAACCTGAAGCCCACCTGAAGCCTACCAGAGGAGCCTTAACAATCAGGAGTGGATGTTTTGGGGGCTTGCGTAGTCTTGCTGTTTCATTTGGCTTCGATTATTCGGCGAGAGATTCCCACAGTGCAGCTTGACACTGGGCGTTTAAGTAACCAGGGAAAAAAGTATAAACTTTTATTTCATAGTGGTTCCCTTGAGAAAAAATATTCAAGTATGGTACTCCAAAGCCCAGGACAAGACTGTCCTAACAACCATGAGACTGCAGCCTTTCACGAGCAGGCGACTTCCCTGTGCCAAGTGTCTGATGGGTTTGGGGTTTACACTAAAAGCCCGAAAGTTGGAAACCTAATAGCCTCAATCCTTAAGAATAGTGTGTAAGGAATCCCAGCACTAGTTGTCCTTAATCCGGTTTCCAACTTTCAGGGGTTTGCTATAATCTTGCCGAAACACCAATAAACAAGCAGCCCTGAGACCGATTATTGGCACACTTGCCAGGACCCTCCATGTACCCTTAAATTGAGGTATATGACCCCAAATAAGGGGCATTTAGGGTCTAATGGAGCGTAGATGGAGGGTCTAGGTGGCTGTGGCAAGTAGGCTCAGAACAAAATGAGCCATGCAAAAACCCCAGTGGTGCGAACATGGGCCCCATACTACGTAGAATAGGCTTTTGGGGCTAAACCCTAAACCCCAAACCCCTAAACCGTAAACCCCTAAACCCTAAACCCCATACTACGTAGAATAGGCATTTTGGGGCCCCCAAACGCGACGGGCTTGCCGGAAGGGCTCGGTGCAGAAGATCCGCTTCGATACCAAGGCAACGAGGCTCAAATTCACCGCCAGAGAAAGCCTTGGGGGGGAAAACTCTGGACTTCAATGAGGCTTTTGTTTGCAGAAGTTTTTTGGGGTTCAGGGCTCCTTTTGGCGCCTTGGGGGGAGGGGGGGGGGGGAATTATAGACTTCAATCATCAATAAGGCCTTTGTTTAGAGGAAACCCTACAACCTAAACCGTGGGTTCAGGGCTCCTTTTGGCGATTTAGATATGGGAGTTTCCCAAAAAAGGGGGCCTTGATATAGCATCCTAAATAGTAGGATCCTTATTATAAGGACCCCCAAATAAGGTACCCCTAATTTTCGGAAACTCCCATATGTAGGGGTTGGGAGCTCCTTCAAGGCTTACTTCAAGGGTTCAGGCTTCACTGTGTTGGGTGCTCTATCGTTATGTAATAACCTATATACTTGTCGGGTATCATGCGGAAATATTAAGGTTAAGCTTTTTGGCTACATAGGGATTATATAGGGACTATACTACCAAAAAATGGCTCAAGGTTGCCTACTCTACTACTTGGATAAGGGCCTTTCAAGGTTCGTTTACGGGTTGCATTGGGGTTCTACAAGGCTGTGGCGTTTATGACTTTGTGCTTGCGCTCTTAGGGTTTAGGGCCTTAGGGGCTTTGGGTCTACGGCTTTGGGGTTTAGGGCTTTGGGTTCAGGGTGTATGGTTTGGGCCATCTTCCAGATTTCCGGGAGGATCTAGAAAGTAGAACCTCTAATTTGGGACCCTATACAACCACAGGGTACTTTATCATTTATAGGCGTTCGCCTCTAAGGGGTCTACTTTCTAGATCGGTTTAGGGTTTGGGGTTTTGGGGTTTAGGGTGTTTATTGGGGTTGTTTATGGCAACAGAGACACCAGTGACTCCGGAGATCTTGCAGGGGTTTAGCATCTTTCAGCGTGCGGGGAGGGTGAGGGTTTAGGGGGAGGTGGCTGACGGTCATGCGTGAACATAGGCTTCGGAACTCCGATCTAGCATAATGTGATGAACCCCCTCCCCTTTAGGACTTTAATCGGGGTCCTGATAGTAGAACCCTTTAAGCCGGTATGCTCATATTCAAAGATCTGGATGCGGTCGTGACCATTACACACGAGCACATACTATATTAACTTGCGCTGCATTATGTGATATCATACTAGAACATATAATATTACGCCTTCTCTATGATGATACCTTCTATTGGAATCAATTCGCTTCTAAGCTATTCTATTGCAGTCACATTGTAGTCTGTTCTATTCCATTCTCGATTATGTACACTCTACAACTTGAAATTCAAATACAGTAAACCCCATAAAGTTGGAAACCGGACTGAAACCAACTAGTGCTGTGATTCCCAATACATTACTCTTAAGGATTGAGGCTGTTGGGCTTCCAACTTTTGGGCTTCTACTGTAGATTCAAGATGCCCTTATAGTACCTTATGGTACCCTTACAGTATCCCTTTACAGGAACCCTTATAGTACCTTATCGTACCCTACTGTAAGTTTATCACGCCTTGAACTGCTCTGCTTGGACTCATGGGCAAGGCGGGGGGGGGAAGGACCTCGTCGGCCCGATTGACCTCCAAGAACCCGAGTTCAGGGTAGGGTTTAGGGTTTAGGGTTTCGAGTTCAAGGGTTTAGGGTTTAGGGTTTAAGGGTTGGCACCCAGATTCCCTGCAGACACAAATGAGGCCATTAACAGATAATGGGCCTTCCCGAACCCCCCCAAAACCTCTTTAATATAGCGCTTTTGGTCCTTAATAGTGGATATTTGGGGCATAATAGAGGGTAGTGGGGTCTTGCTAGGATTCGCCGGTGTGTTTAGCATAACTGTAAGAAGGTATCCCCATTCCGGCTTCTATACTTTCAGCGGATGCCAATCAACCTCTAAACTGTGAAACTCGCTTAGGCTTGGGCTTTACGTGTAGGGTTCAGGGTTCAGGGAGCCTACGTAGAATTAAACCCCCAAGGTAAACCCTGAAACTCGAAAACCCCTTGGCCATAAAACAGCGAGCCGGAAACCCCGTATTGAATGCCTGCTAACCCCTGAGCAAGCCCTACAAAACAGCAGGAAAGCCCCTGCATAACACCCTTCTCAAAACGCAGAAATGTTAGACCAAGCCGGGTATGAACCTTTGAAACGAGCCCAACAAAAATCTCCGTAATAACCACCTAGAGCGCGACAACACCCTGAACCCCAAACCCTAAACCGTCGCGGGAGCCGAGGCACATGATTGGAAACTCGGGGGGAACAACCGACCTGAGTGCACAGTGCCACGGCGAGCCCCTAAACCCTAAGCCCTAAGCCCTAAACCCCTAAACCCTAAGCCCTAAACCCCTAAACCCTAAGCCCTAAGCCCTAAACCCCTAAGCCCTAAACCCTAAACCCTGAAGGAGGGGTGTTGGGCTTACGGTCTCCACGGCCAAGGGCTGAGGGCTTGGAGTTTCGGAATTTCGTCTCTGGGTCTGGGCCCATAGGCTCCACAGTAGTTCCTCTTGGGGTTAATATTTAGAATACTATATAGAACACTATGGGGCCTATGGGTAATTGATACAAGCAGTTCTGACTTCTGCACCATTTCAACTCCTCTGCAGCTTTGGTGGTTTTAACTACGATGCACACGCAAAGAGCTTCACATGAACAGTTCTTCTTCCCGAGCCGCCGCAAGCCCCAAACATCGCTCTGGCACAATCCAACGCAAGAAGACTGAACTTGAAGAAAGAATTCGGATGGGGAGGGTTTAGGGTTTAGGGGAGGGGCTATAGCCCGAAACCCTTAACCCCACACCGGCCTCGGTAGGGGGCTAGTTGGTCCAGAAACTCTTTGCCCATAGGCTCCACAGTAGTTCCTTATGGGATTACCTTAATAAGGTAACCTTATAAATAGGATTCTGACTATGAACCCCAAAAAGGAACTACTACGGAGCCTACGGGTAACGACTGGTTCGAACCGGCAAACTGCAGCCCGAGTCTCGTGATGATGTGGCTCACTGCCAACCTTGCTGCAGGGCCCTACCGCGGGGGGGGGGGGGGGGGGGGGTGGTTAGGGTTTAGGGTTAAAAGTACAGGGTTTTTTTTTTTGAACGCCTTTTTCCCCCAAAAAGTACAGGGTTTAGGGTTTAGGGTTTAGGGTTGGGGGGGATGTTCTTGAGCAGAAGGTCGGGGTTGGTAGAACTCTATTCCCACGTTACTGGTCCTTTGCTACTGAGGCTCTATAACTATCGTCGCCCCCCCTATGTTTCGAAACTCCCACGCAGCCCCGCGAGTTAATTTTTATTGTCGTATCCTGAATTCCATGCCGTACTGATTAACCCTATATTATACCCGAAATCCCGTGCCGCTTCTGCTATTGCTGCTGCTGCTACTTAGCCTGCCTTGCTGTTGAGGGATTGGGGTTTAAGGTTCTGGCAAAGGGTGTCTGGCTGCGAGAAACGCAAGTCGCCCTTCAACAACTTTGCAACACCCAAAACCCAAACCCGAAGCCCTAAGCCCTACACCTAAACTACCCGTAGGCTCCATAGTAGTTCCATTTTGGGGTTCATATTTAGAACCCTATAAGGTAATCCCAAAAACGAACTACTATGGAGCCTATGGGTAGTTCATGCTTGGGATAGGATTAAAGTACACATTTTATTTATTCCTGGTTGGGTTTAAGTACCCATAAAAATGACAAACGTTACCTGACTATGACAAAGTAAACGTTCAACCGAATGCATGGCCACCAGGTGACAAGAGCTTGAACGTAGACCTCGGCGTCTCCCCACGTGCAGGAACCAGCACCAAACCATCGTACAGCACATAGATACCTCGGCAGGACCGGTTTAGGGTTGAGGGTTTAGGGGCTTGGAGTTTAGGGTTTGATTAGGGGTTTAGGGTTTAGGGTTGTCTCGGCCAGACAGATGGAAAGGATCTGTCAAAACCTGGAAATTCAGAGTCGAATTCTGCTCAGGAATCCTAGGGCATACTTAAAGGATCATGGGACTTAGTCACTAGAGTTATAAGTATCCTAACTGGGGTTATATCCAACTATAAGTATAGTTACCTTATTAATAACCATAGTTACTAAGTCCCATGAACCTTCAAGTAGCATCACTAATTGCCCAGGCTTCCACAGCACATAAGGCAACAGACCCCGCCTCTGAATTGCGCCACCTTTCTAAATCCTAAACCCTAAGCCCTAAATCATAGAACAGGATGTCCAAAGCAAGCACTGCCATCCAGGTTCTGGGTAGTGTTTAGGGTTTAGGCTTTAGGTTTATGGTTTTAAGTATAGTGTGAGCGACTAATATAGGGACCTTAAAAGATAGAATAGGGTTTGGCGGGTAAATTACACTATAATCATAATTATTCAGGCCCGCATATTACAAACGTAGCCCGATATACACTCACAACGATCCTTACATGTAAATCCTGCCTCACATGGGAGTGCACAGACCATACATGCTAAACCCCAAACTCATACAGGTCCATACAAACCCTACCTCCTAAACTCATATAGAACGCAAAATCCCCAGCCCGAAGCCCTCGACCCTATGGGCAGTAATCCCTAAATCGTTTACCGCGAGAACTACTATGAGATCCTTCGACCAAGCAGGTCTTGTGTCCAAAATCTACTTGTCGGGTATCATTGGGAACTAAAGGTTAACCTTTTTTGGTTATATAGGGACTATATAGGGACTATACTACTCAAAGAAGGTTAAAGGTTACCTACTCGACTACTAGGAAACGTGTGCCGAAGCCTACACCCTGACCCCTAAACCGTAAATCCCATGTGCAAAACTTAAACCCCAAAGCCTGAAGCTCTAAAGCCCAAATCCTATAGCTCAATGCCTGAAGGCCCTAGGCCATACGCAGTACTAAACAAACCCAAGCTTCTGAAATTCAGGCCTTTTGCTCGTCCCTGTACCGTCTCCTTGCCAAGCAGAACAAAAAATACAAAACCCTAAAGCCCTCAAGCCTGTAGCTCCAAAACACCCCACAACCCTAAACCCCTAATTACACTATGCGCGGTCATGATGCATGCGAGCACCGCAAAGAAGAGGAGGATGGCGATGAAGCAATAAGCTTCCTCCCAAAAAAGAAAGGGTTTGGGGTGTAGGGTAGCTTCCTCCGAAAAAGAAAGGTCTTCCAGGACGCGCCAAAGGCCCATTCATGGAGCCCTTATTCCTTAATCGTGGGTACTTGGAGGATCATGGGACTTAATAAGTATAGTACCTTAATTGGGGTTACAAGTATTTATAACGCTAGTTACTTTACTTATAACCCTACTTACTAAGTCCCATGATCCTTTAAGTATTTGGGGGAAAACAGAGGGTAGTTGGGAGGTCTGGGTTTAGGGGTTCCTTTACATCCTTGAAATAACCCCTTTGGGGATTAGGCTTTTAGGGCTTAGGGGTTCAGGGTTTAGGGTCATTGGACTTCTCGGCGACGCGTTCTACTCTAGGCTTGAACACATCACGAGGCAAGCATTTAATTAAGGGTCAGAAACCCCTGATCCTAACCCCCCGAGAAACCCTAAACACCCTAAACCCAAACCCTACAAAAGTTTAAGCTTTGCCGGGGCCCTTCAACCTACCTCTTTAGGACTACCAATTAGATGAGTTCCGTCTGTAAGTCCTTCAAAAACAGCGAGGTTCCCCTACACCTCTCTTTCTTACGTATTGAACATCAATACTTTTGCGGGCAATGGCGACTTCCCAGTCGGTTTTCGTCATTGCCCGCGAAGAAATATCGGTCTCCTGCCGGAAAACCCTACAAATTACGCTCCACTTGGCGGGGCCTTGCTGGAAACCGTGACGCGGTCGGCACTGAAGAGGATCGTCCGGCACAGCTTCCCCTGGGTCGTGTCGAAGCCAGTCCTTAGGACCTGGGTCAAAGCAGCTCAGGGAAAGGGTTTATGGGTGGTTGTCAAAATTATGGTCCCTTTTTGGGTACCCTAAATAATAGGTGCCGTATTATAATAGGGACCCAAACAGGGACTATAATTTTGACAACGGCCCTTATAGCGTTTGGGTTTAGGGGCTTTCTAGGTTCACCCTCACCCCTGAGCTTTTAGGGAGACTACCGGGCAACAAGCAAGCTAACTAGGGGAGAGGAAGGGAGGCGGCGGCGTCGGTTTAGGGTTTATAGGGCTGTAGGGTTCGAGGAGAGGCTGCAAGGTCCTCCAGTTGGCGGCTTTGCTTAGGGTTTATCTTGGGGCTTCGAGGCTTCAGGGTGTTAGGGCCTGGTAGGGCCGGGTAGGGTCTTATAGGGCCCCCCCCCAAAAATCAAAGAAGCAAAAATAAGCTTAGGGATATCCTATATAACCCCCTTATGATGAAGCCCAATAAGGTAGGGATATCCCTATAAAATGCTTATGCTTAGGTGCTTTTGGGGTCCCTAATCTTAGGGTTTGGTTCAAAAGGTGTTGAGCTTCGGAGGGGCTTAAATGATCTACTGTCACCAGACCCACAGACACACCATAGCAGCTAATCTATCATGCCGACTGAAGTAAAGCAAATGAAGTCGAGGTTTATGGTCATGTTGTAGTATAATGCAATGAGCGGACTCCTGTATTGCCTCTGTCCATTTCGGACATTGTCTGCTCCTGACCGGAACCTCACAAATGCTGCATGCATCTCTCTCTCTCTCTCTCTCTCCCTCTCTCTCTCCCCCTCTGTGTGCTTGCAGCTTGTTTGTGTGCCTCTGTGCGCATGCATGTGGGATTGTGAATGCTTGATAATTTGATTGTGTCTATGCTTGCTTGGTTGCTATTGTGTGTGTGTGTGTGTGTGTGTGTGTGTCTGTGTGTGTGTGTGTTTGCGTCTGTGTGTTTGTAGTCTGGCTGGCTGGCTGGCTCCCTGACTGGCTGTATTCAGGAAACCCAAGCATTGGAAGAAGGGATGCAGCGCCTAAAGAATTGGAGGTGTGTTTGGTGCTCTCCAAGACTGCAATGTAGGGGTCGATGATCGAAAACACAATTCCCTCACCTTCCCCAAAACCCTAATTAAGCCCAAGCCCTAAACCCTGCTCTAGCCACCAAGGCCCCTATTTCACGCGGATTAAGGGTCCACCATCCTTCCAGCTATGCTCATTCAAGCAGTACCGATGGTCTATGGCTGAAGGCCTCAAATGTGTGGGCTTAGCGTTTTGGTGATTCAGGTTTAGGGGGCTACAGGGTTCTAGGTTTGGGGCTTGGGGTTTAGGGCAGGGTTAAAGTTTAGGAGTTCACGCTTCGGGGCTTTGGCCTTAGGGTTCAAAGTTTTAGGGTTCAGGCCTCTGTGGGTTTCCTGAGGGCTCTTGCCACCGAAGAGGCAAAACCCACCGCAAGGGGTGACGTGCGCGTGGCTGGGACCCTCTTCCATTGATTCTTGCCTTTCCTCAGATTTGCCGTTGTCGACATGCCGGTTCGAAACATGCAAGAAACTCCTTACTACTTTCTCATGTACGGTCCCTACACCCTAAATCCCTAAAACCCTAAAACTCTGGGGGCACGAAACCTGAACCCGAAAGCCCTCAACCCAAAACGCCGAAAGCCCTGAAGTACTCAGTCCACATTCAATGGTCTGGGCTTTTCTTTTAAGCCAGGCTGCCACAGGCTGCTAGTCAACAGAAGAGTTTGTTCAGGGGTTGCAGGGTTCTTGCAATTTTGAAGTTTGGGCGGTTCGGTGGTTTAAGGTTTGGATCGACAATCGTAGGCACCAATTTCGTTTTTGACGCCATGGCATGAATTACGGGTCTTCTGACATGGACCCTACACCCTCCAAATCCAACTCGCATCTTGCGCAGCAATATAGTGGGAGTTACATGACCCCAAGCCGAAGAATGATGACGATTCGCGCCAGGGGTAAGGAGTTTGTTTGATTGGTTCGGCACTTGTTGTGCCCCGGCCCCCTCCACCAAAAGACACCACCCAACTAATGTCGAGGCCCTAATATTTGCAATTTACAATAGGATTTTGGGGCCCATAATACTATAACTGTAACAAGGAATCCCCGAACTAGTATTGGTAATTATTCAGGCCCCTATTCTAAATCCCTATAATGCCCCTTATAGTAATCCTGTAAGACCTTTTTGAAAGGAACTCTATGGTAATTCTTAAGGCTCCTATATTTATTACAAGAGACCCATAGGATTCCGGATCCAGACCATGAACGCTTCAAAGCTGGTGTCTTCTGGCCGGTGGGTTTTGAAGAAGCTGATGATGAACATGGATACGATGCTGCGATGAGGATATATAACGATGACGATGAGGAAGAGGTGGAGGAGGATGAGGATGAGGATGAGGATGATGGTGATGCTGATGCTGATGATGATGATGCTGGTGACGATGAGGACAGTGGTGATGCTGCCGCTGATGCTGATGGTGATGTTGATGGGGTGCTGCTGATGATGATGATGCTGATGCTGTTTCTGATGCTGCTGATGCTGCTGATACTGCTGATACTGCTGATACTGCTGATACAGCTGATGATGATGATGAGGAGGAGGATGATTAGGACGATGAGGATGATGATAACGACGCTGGTGTTCATGATCGTGATGATGATGCTGATGATGGTGCTGATAGCGGCTGTGATTCGGTGGGATCCCTTGATAGTCAAACGAGAGCTAAGCTGCTATCTGCCAGTAATTAGTGCCCTCTGTGTATTGGGAGTTGGAGGCTGGGGGTGGGGTGCTGCCAAGCCAGGATTCTCCGAGTTCTGGTGCATCATGATATTCCTTGGCACGTGCTGCTTGCCGTCCGGAAAAAACTTCAGCGGTGCGACAGCGTGACAGCCACCTGCCACCTAGCCACCATGCGTCACCGAAACCGGACTTTCAGTCAGCGTTCTTAGTCAGACCGGCTCTTATGTGCCGCTCTCCCGGGAAGTTACCTATGGTTTCCATTACAGCTCCTTTATGGCTTCAACAAAATTTATGTTTAGGATCTACAAGTCAAGGCAACCCAAAGAATGAACTGCAATGAAGACTTTAGGTAGGGTGTATCGACGGACACGGGGTGTGTCGGCTTAGCGTGCAGCCACGTCGGATGTGAGCATTTACAGCTTACCCTAAGGTTCCAGGTATCTTCTTTAGGACCCTTAGGGCCTTAGGGCAAAAGGTTTAGTCTCCCCTAACATGAGTGCAGAGCCGGCGACGTGCCGGCAGAGACGATGTGCTGCTTGTGCCGGCCAAGCATGTCCAGCAATTGGCCTGTTTCAATTGATGCATATTATGAGAAGTCTGCGTATATACATATATATATACACATGTATATGTGTGTGTATATATATATATATGTGTGTGTATACACATGTATATAGACATAGCTATAGATATAGTTGTAGATATAGATATTTATAGATATAGGTATAGATAGAGATGCAGATATAGATATAGATACAGACATCGATATAGATATAGTTTCAGATATAGATACAGATCCAGACATATTTGTATTGATATTGATGTCCAATACTTGGCCTGTTTGAGCACAACGTGGGTCGGGCTTTTAGGTGTCCAAACTACAGCAAAAGGCAACTGCGGTGGCGTTTAGGCTCCGTTGCGGGCCCAATTTTCATTGCGAAACCCATGGTTCAGGGTTTGGAGACCCCCTTTGCATCAAGAAAACCCTAAACCCGAATGCTGATGTGAATATGGTTAGGAACCTACAACGAAACTATACCACCCTTGAAACCATAATAAACAAATACGTTCAATATTCTCTTGGGTTTGTTGGACAAGAATAAAAACAATTCCTGAGGAGACTATAGGAAAAAGGAGACGCAATAGAACAGAAACGGCTCCATTGGGGAATATAGGTAAGAGTTGGACGCTGGTCCGTCTTTTGGGCCAAGGGCACTTTCTTTCCCATCGCGGGGGGCGGTCTTTGGGGGCGTAACGCACACGACCACACACACGAGGGACGTAGGGAACCCGAAACCTCGTCAGAAGGACTCATGGGAGTTTCCGAAAACTAGGGATACCGTATTTTGGGGTCCTTAATAAAAAGGATCCTATTAGTTAGGGTTTTATATTTGGGTCCCCAGTTTTGATTTCTTGGAAACTCCATATGATGGGTTTTCGGTTTGTGGTTTACGGCTCAGGGTCTAGGGTCAACCAAAACCCGCTCCAATCCCGGGGCAGGAAGAGTCTCAGTAAGACCAAGTTTTGGCATCAGGACCCAGTGCATCGAAAGCTACATCTTCTTAGGGTTTAGGGTTAAGGGTGTTCTATCTGGCCACCATTTTACCCTGAAATGCCTGCTACGAGGAACCCCCACACTCCTAAGCCCCAAACCCTACTATCCCTGACCTTTCAGACTCCCTGTATTAACGAGCATACCTTGAATTATCGTAGGACCTCTGATATGACTAAAGGTATTGCCCTAAGTAAGGGCTATTGGAGTCCCCTGAACCCGAAACCCTGTAGATCCCTTTCAGGAACCCTTAAAGGGACCCTATAGAACCCTTAAAAGGAATCCTTAACGGAACCCCGTTGAACCCCTGAAGGGAACACTTAAAAGAAATCCTATGTATTCCCTCAAAGGAACCCTGGGTCTTCCCTTGAGGGAACCCTATGCAGGTCTTCCCGAATTTAAGGGGGGTGTTGCGGCCTGAGGAGCAGCCCGATGCTGCGGCATGGACCTGGCCAAGACCCTTTTGGGGTTTAGGCGGTTCGCACGGTTTAGCGTTTAAGGTTTAGGGGTTTTAGGGGCTTTAGGGGTTTTAGGGTTTAGGGCTCTAGGGTTTTAGGGTTTAACATAGGGGCCTGAATAATTTTAAAAATTGGGGCTTCGGGGCCCGTGATACTACGGTCCTAAAAAGGAACCACCCAAATACTATTGGTAATTGTTTAGGCCCCTATATTAAGGGATCTGAAGGTTATATCGGGGTTTAGGGTTTAGGGGTCCAGGGGCTGAGGGCTTAGGGGTAAAGGGGTGAGGGTTAAGGGGTCTAGGGGTCTGGGGGTTAGGGGTCAGGGTTTCAGGGGTTAGGATTTTAGGGATATGAGGTTAACGGGTATGGGGTTAAGGGGTCTAGGGGTTAAGGGGTTCAGGGGTTAGGGATAAGCGGCGTTAAGGGGTCTAGGGGTTAGGGCTTTAGGGGTCCAGGGGTTAGGGTTTTAGGGGTCCAGGGGTTAGGGGAAGTATATTCCCTGTTTACGGAATATTGGAAGATCTGAGTGATGCTGATTGCAAAACTGGGCGCCATGAACGACCGGGAATATCGATGGTAATATGGGGGAGGAGGAGATAAAGAGAATTGGGCTCCTGGGGACAAATCGAGCTTGTTACAATCAGCCTTGCAGGTGACAGGGAGGCACTCGAGGAATATGATGCTCTGGAACCTCAGGTCGAAATCCCCAAAACCTACAACACCCAGACACCCTAAACCCCGAAAACCCTGGTAAAGCCCCAAATTCCAGGGCCCCAACCTTCAAGTCAAGGAGTACACCTTAAATTGTAGGGCGATTCTTCTAGTGTTATTTCAGCTGTCTTCCTCAACTAACGGATGCTTTGAGTAATTGGGGGTTTCCGAAAATAGGGGACCCGAATATAGTACCCTAAATATACCCGAAATAGTAGGATCCTCATTATAAGGACCCCAAAATAAGGTACCCCTATTCTCGGAAACTCCCAATTGAATACTGGCTGACCACTGACCTTCATTTGTGGCACGCTCTCTCCCGTGAGCATGGCTTCATTCACGAGGACATTACCTCGGCTTCTGGGGAGAGTACTTATGACCCTACTTACTAAGTCCAATGATCCTTCAAGTAGCGCTTGAGAATAAATCAAGAAACAAAGAGGCCGCAAGTCGGGAAGAAGTCTCCCGGTCCCAAGAACTTACCTTTGGTTAGTAGAAAATGGAGGTATGGGGTACAATTATAACTGCTATTACTACCATTCTTCCATTCCCTACTAACCAAAGGTAGGCTGGGGAGTAGTCCATTACGGGCTTAGGGTTAAGGGTTTCATAAAGGTTTAGGGTTTAGGGTAGTCCATTGCGGGTTTAAGGTTAAGGGTTTAATGAAGGTTACATGCTTAGAGTCTTAGGGTCAAGTCGTTACAGTGTACGTCCATGAAATAGTCTAGCATGTGCGTGTATGTATACACAGATTTTATAGAGATAATTACAGATTAAAACCGTTGACGAAAAGGATCTTTCACAAGGGTCATGGATCTTGGGACGGAGTTACTTCAACAAGCTTAACCGTAAACCCTATCCTAAAATAATGAAAGTCTGAGAACAGGAAGAACCTTGCGCATTCTACAGCACTGTAGACAAGCAGCAGCAGCAGCAGCGATGATGTGGGGTTTTGGCTTCAGGGCCTGAATGATTAAAACCAGGCTCCTTTGAGGGTTCCCGTCAAGGCTTTGGTATGGCTTCTACAGGAAGGGCTTCGGCGTCTCATGCAGAAGCCTTGGGAATTCGAGCTAGGTTTGGGGGTATATGATAGTCTAAGAGTTTAGGGTATAATAAGACACCCTAAGCAACCATGCCGGTAATTAGAACAAAAGCAACAGCAGCTGAGGACGGGCACAGAAATAGACGACCTGAGACAGCCGCATTGAAACACTCTGCCGTAGAAGAAGCACAAGCTCACATAGATATCGAACCGGGCACCATATATATATATATATATACATACATACATATACATATACATATACACATACATACACACACATAGAGAGAGAGAGAGTTGATGGTGATCTGCTTGATTTGTTGATGATCTACCTGTATCCTTGCTTTCTTACGTGTTTGCATTTGTTTAGGCTCTGTATGCCCAGGTTAATAGCGCGCCATGTGCCAGCGCGCCAGCATTCAGCCACGATTCCTTGCAACAGCAGCGCATCGCAAGGAAATGAAGCCTGCGCCAGTCCGACAACAGAATTCTGCCATGCTGGGGCAGTGTACGGTTGTTTTGGGTTTCACGAGTGCTTGATGCAGGGGCATTAATAATTCCAAGGGGGCTTTGGAGGTATACTCTCGGACAACTTGGGTGGGACGATAAGGGATCCAGTTCGTATTGATTCAGACCTCAGGCTTTGAAACCTTCAGAAAACCGTTTCACAACCCTTACAAACACATCTAGATTTGCTATGGGTGGAAGCTTTTGGAAATCCCTCTGCGAACATGTCGCGACAACACTAAGCCGTGAACCCTAAACTCTAAACCCTAAACCGTACCACACCAGCGCCTCCCAGCCTACGGCTATGAGGGTTGATTCGAGTTGAGTTGAGGGTTCCTTCGGGGCTGTGATATAGGGGGCTCAATAATTAGCAATATTGCTCTTTGGGGTTCCCTAGTATAGCTATAGTAGAACATACCCCAAAACTCGCCTCGACTGCAGGAGAGGGTGGCCAACCTTTCTTAGTCTTTCTGGCTTGGAGCAGCCAGCCGCCGCTCGCTCTCGGTAGCTAAGACGGCATTCTCAAGCCCTCGTCGCGGGGTAGCTCCACAGCCACAGCAGCCTCAGTTTGTTCTTGCCCCACCACTCCTTTCGAGATCACGTCGTAGCTGTTGAGCATGTGCCCCCCCCCTATTCTTGGGGTGGCATACTAAATCAGCTGGAGTGGCCACAGCATCGTACACAAAATGCCTCTCTCTCAAGGCCAGCATCACCTGCTTGGCTTTCTGGTTGATTGTCAGCTGTGCATCATCTAGCACAGCGGAGACTCCCGACACCCACTCGGGGTAGCCATGCCAGGCAACGATGGAAGGCTCCAGGGGGAGGGTTGGGGACTTAGTAAGCAAGATTAGAGGTATCTTGATTGCGAGTATGAGTAAGTATAGCTAAACTATGCTTACCTTCTTTATACCCCTAGTTACTAATCTGGGGCCGCCTCTGAAAAGTTCAACAAGTGACCTACGTAGTGTAAGGGCTTGAATATTCACTGTGTTATTCTTGACTAGGGTTCCTGAAGATAGGCAAATGTATAACACACCCCAGCAAACTGTTGCAACTTATAAGCCGCTAACCTAACACCCTCAGCCCTCAACCCTACACTATAGACCCTAAACCGTACGCCCTGTATTAAGCACTCTAAACCCCGAACCACAGATGAGAGTTTCCGAAGACACGGGACCCTAATAGAGTACCCTAAATCGTAGGATCCCCATTATAAGGACCCCAAAGTGAGGTACACACTTATTTTGACCTCAAACTTTAGCTAAAGGTGGACAAGCCGAGAGACCTGTGCACCCCCAAGCAGGACGACAAAGCTCAAGCGTCTTCTCAAGTAACCCTAAACGCCTAAACCCTAAGAGCCCTTTCGATGCATGTGGGTGGTTGTGAAAATTATAGTACCTTGTTGGGTACCCTAGATAATAGGTGCCGTACTATAATAGGGACCCAAAAAGGGGCCCTAATATTGACAACCACCCATGTATCTTTGAGGATCTACAGGTTCCCAGACCCCCGGGAGGATCCAAGAAGTAGGTCCCTTAATGGGGGGTTCCTATAAAGTACCCTTAGTGGTATAGGGCCCCAAATTAGGGGATCTACTTTCTGGATCCTCCCCGGGGTCTGGGTTTTTACGGCTGAGTTGTTGCGTTTATAGGGTTTATAGGGGTTAAGGTTCCTCAGACCCGAAAAGCTCTGCAAAGCGATCTCTAGACGAGTTCATGTTCGGATAGGATTAATACTGTACATCTTTTTTGCATATTGGGGCTTAAGTAACCATAAAAATGAAAACTGTTACCCAGCTACGACAAAGTAGATAGGTGAACTGAAGCCTGCGGCTGGGTTAACTTGGAATTGAGTCCCGGCGCCGCTTTTCTGTATGACTACTTTTCAGGGCTCAGGGTTTAGGGTTTAGGGACTAAAGTTCAGGGTTCAGGATTTCGGAGTTGAGGCTTCAGGGACAACATCTAATTATATTCTTCCTAGCGATAACGGCGAGTACAGCCCTGAACATCGCAAGAGAGCCGCCTGCCTCCTACCCAGACCCCCGGGTAGATCTCCTAAACTGGGGCCCTATACTACTAAGGGTACTTTATAGGAACCCCCCCCATTAAGGGATCTACTTTTTGGATCCTCTCGGGGGTCTGGGTGAAACCTCACACCCAAACATGCCTCCGGATTGCGTTGGATGCCGATGATGTCTCCAGGCAGCAATTGATTGCTTTGGATCTCTTGCCATTGTCCATCCTCGGTTTCGGATCTAGGGCTCGAGGCTAAAAAGTAGATCCCTTAATCCCCATAGGGCCCCAAACTAGGGGATCTACTTTCTAGATCCTGCCGGGGGTCTGGGTAGCTGTAGGGTACAAGTTTAGGGGTTTTGGATTGAGAGCAGTAAACCGTAACCCTAAAAGCATCAGGCCCAAATGAATCAAGACCTACTACCTAAGATCCCCCAAACAGAGAAACCTCAACCAGTCCTTTTTTTCGATACGATACATTAACAAGGTTCCCCTGCACCCTGCAGCTCCTGAAAAAAGGTTACCCTAAACCAGAAGCTTGTGAAGGACGTTGAACCCCCTTGCTTCGCGACCCACCACCAAATGAAACTTCACGCAGGCAAAGAACTGGGCGAACAATGGATCCTAACAACTTTGTAGCAAGAATTAGTCGCCCCTTCTTTTTGCGGACGACGAGCCAAGATCGTGTGCTAATGATGTCGGGATCGTCTTAGGATTTTAGGGTCCCTTACCCGAAACACCGAAGACCCAACAACAACAAAAAACACACAGAATAGGCCTTTGCGGCATATAGTAGGCTATGTATACTGGGGACTGTAAGCAGATGCGACCCTACATGCGTCAACACTAGATTCCAAAACCCTGACAGCCCTGAAGGCTACAGCTCAAAATTCAAGAAACGAAATTGCGAAGCCACACACACCCAGACCCCCGGGAGGATCTAGAAAAGTAGATCCCCTAATCTGGGGCCCTATACTGCTGAGGGTACTTTATAGGAACCCCCTATTACGGGATCTACTTTTTGGATCCTCCCGGGGGTCTGGGCAGCAAAGCCTTGATAGGCCCTTTACTAATTTACAGAGCCATCAAAGCCCAAACACTAAACCCTAAACCCCAAATCCTGGCCCCCCCGCCCCAAACCCATAAACCCCTGCACCCTAAAACCCTGGACCATGCGCCCCCAACCGCGAACCTTGAAACCCGGAACCGTCTTTCGAACCTCGAAAGCCCAAAGGGTCCTATGTACTGTTATGGGGAAAACTTTCCTAAGTCATAATATTAATTCCTAATATGGAAACCCTACATTCTACTATATCGGTACATAGGACATTGTGGGAAAGCACCTCCAACAGCAAGTAAACATAAGTTGTTTAAGGTACTCTCCCTTGACCTGGGTACATTGCAAGTAGTCAGTCTATGTTAGGTGCTTCGATGGGCCCTACCCAAGAGCTTCAACCCAAAACGGGGCCCAATACGATAAGTATCATGAGGAACCCCCAAAATAGTATAGGTAATTATTTAAGCCCCTGGTTTTAAGCCTTCTAATAGCCCTTATAGTAGCCCTTTAACGGACCCCTTTACAAGAACCCTAAATCATTTAGAGGCATAGCTTAGCGACTCTGAAGGCCAGCGTGGGCATGGGTGGAATCCGCATGGAACGAAGCCTCGAGATGAAGGGTTTTTAGGAGTTCTCGAAAATAGGGGATCCTAAAAAAAATAGTGCCCTAAATGGTAGGATCCTTATCAAGAACCCCCAAATAAGGTACGTAGGGTTTGGGGCTCTGGGCTTTCGGGCTTAGGGTTCACCTAGAAACAATCATGGAGGTTTACGGGTTTTCTTGGGTTTTTTCAGACTGTATAACCCTTGTTGGTGGAGTTCTACAGGAATCGGTTTTGGGAAAATTTTTGGATTCAGAAAACCATCTTGTTGCTGATGAATTATGTTGTTCACTTTGTGGGACGCGGAGGCATTCTTGATTTTCATGTTAAGCATCCCTTTAAAGCCCTTTGAAACCCCGGTATTTCACGTCTGCCATGAAGTGGTGGTCACTGCCGGGGCGAGTGCAGCGGCTGTCTTGGGGGGTGGCTCCGAGGCGTGTCCCAGGCCTTTATGTATTCCCAGACCCCCGGGAGGATCCAAAAAGTAGATCCCTTAATGGGGGGTTCCTTTAAAGTACCCTTAGCAGTATAGGGCCCCAAATTAGGGGATCTACTTTCTAGATCCTCCCGCGGGTCTGGGGTATTAGCATAGGTGCAATCCCTCTGGCAGGCCCCCCAGACACTCCAATATCCCTTAATTAATTAGGGAATATTCCCTAAATCATATTAGGGATCCTACTATAGTTAGGGCATGTTCCTTAATTGAGGGATATACCTTAAATCATGTTAGGGATCCTACTATCTTTTGAATCATGTTACTTAACTCCATTGTAGAACCCTTATAGATCCCTTTAAGGAACCCTTTAAGGAACCCCTGCGAATCTTCCTTACCTATTGGAGTCTCTGGGCCCTTCACTTTTCATGCCCGGGACTTTTGCGCCAAGAACTGGTCAGCTTCTTAGTGTGCAAAGGGCTCCTTTAAAGGGGTCTTTAGGGTTTAGGGGTTAGGGTTAGGGTTTGGGGTTTAGGGGCTTAGGGTCTGGGATGTAGGGTTGGGGGCTCGGGGTTTCTCTTTCGCGCTGCTGATTTGAGGGTTTAGGATCAGGGCGTAAACATCTGGCGACTATGCGGGGCCTTCATCAATCGTCAGAACAGGGAAATAGTGTTGCACTCTAACAATATTTATAAGCTTCAACTCAGGGGTACCAATGCTAATTGTGTCCTCCTATATTATCAGGCCTTTCGTGAAAATCCTAAACCCTAAACCTCAGGTGTGCCGGCAGTTGGCTCGGAGAGGTCGTGGCGCCGTCGGTGCACCATTTGCGCCTGCCATGGGTGCAACCCCGTGTTGGGGGTTTGCAGGAACAGGGTTTAAGGTTTAGCGTGCAAGGTAATGTAGGGACCTTGATAAGTAGAAACGGGTTTCCGGGTATATTGCAGTATACTTGCATTGGGAACTTCATGGAGGAATTGAAGCACTTTAAGCTTCCATATTATGTCTACTTACATTGGGAAGTTGACGGAGAAATGTTACCAAGTACTGAGGCTTCCATATTATGTGGTCTGGGGTTTGGAGTTCCGGGGGCTCTGGCCTGGGTTGCTATACGCCCAGGAACGTGTCAACAGGAGTTCAATATGGGGGCCTTTAAACTCAGGATGAGGCTTTGGGGCCCGTTCTACTACTAGGATACGCCTCTCTTTTTGGTATTGGGTAACTTTATAAGGAACCTAGGACTACAAAAAGGGAATAAGGGTACTACTGGGCATCCTAGACTATAATTGTAGCAAGGAGCCACCAAAATGGTATTGGTAGTTAGTTAAGCCCCTATATATTAGAGATTAAGGCCAAAGTTTAGGGTTTAGGGTGGGATAACGATATTCACTGCCCAGGGCCTAGCTAAGCTAAATTATGATCGCATAAGCAATAGTGTCATCTTCGCGATCCCCCTCATAGTCATAGGTCGTAACCATGCCCACAACAAACTCTATGAAAAGACTATCCAGTGAGAATCTGAGGAATAATAACCCTTCACCCGAAGCCGATAGTAACTCTTGCAGAAACCCTCGAGCGACCCTTGTAGAAGCCATGAGAGGAACTCTTACAGAAACCTGAAAATAGCCCTTGAAGAAACCTTTAAAGTGACCCCGTTTAAGCAATGGCAGTAGAGGAACCCTTGAAGAAACCCTTCAAGCAGCCCAGGAAGAAACCCTTAAGGTGACTCTTGAAGAACGCTTTACAGCTTCCCAGATCTGATGGAAAGCGCATCGACTTCATAGATTTCAACTAGCAGGAACAGGAAACCTCTATCGCAACTCATCTTTTGTCGTATCATGACGATGCCCAAGCATCATGTTCGGACACATCCGAACCGTTAGAACCCGTCAGTCACAAGAGAAACAATCCCGTTGTAAACCCGCCCTAAACCCTAAACCCCAAAACCCTAAAGCCCAAAACCCGAAACCCCAAAACCCTAAACCCCCAAACCCTAAAGCCCAAGACCCTAAACCCTAAACCCCGAAGTCCTAAACCCTATAACCCCAAACCCCATAACCCCAAACCCCATAACCCCAAACCCCATAACCCCAAACCCCAAAACCCTAAACCCCAAAACCCTAAAGCTCAAGCTGGGCATTCCAAAGCCCTGTCCTCAAGCACGACAAGAAGAAACCTCAGTTGCGTGCTGGACCACGGAGCAAAACGCTGCGGCATGTCTCTGAGCACAAAAATGATTAGGGTTTAGGGTTTAGGGGTTTAGGGTTTAGGATAAAGGGTAAAGCTTGAACAGAAGAATGAAGATTTAAGAATGCTCAGAACAATGACAATGCAATCGCAACAGGGCCATCGTAACGATGCCAAGGCAATCGTGTCACAGACTTGAGAATATTTGCACACCGTTCTCCTCACACCAACGAAACTATTCCAAAATGTACCCACAAGTTGAATTAGAAACATGAAACAGGATGGGATACAAGTGGATGGGTGGGCCCAAGGGGTAGTATACTATGTTCACACTAGGATCTAAGTACCGAAGTACCTAGCACATCTTGGACACACAAAGCAACTTCTGTTTAGCTTCAGTGGCGCTCTGCGCGGAAAAACAAAACTGTGTCGAACTGACGCTGCGTAGTGGTGTACGACCAACGTTATGCAAAAGCCTGCCAAGCCGCACAGGAATGCAGACTGAGGACCTCACTCAATGCTTGAGATCTAGCGAATCTAACATAGAAACCTCGAAACTCGAGATCAGGCAAGCAACAGCGTGAGCAAGGAGTAGTACCAGTACTCATCCATGAGCCATAGCAGCACGCAGAACAGCTGGAAGACGAAAAAGGGGGCCACTGCATGCTCCTGTTTCAGTGTGAATAAGACGTTGAAAAGAGACGGATTGATGGCACTGCACATTCGACATCAGGACATAATCTCTCCTTTTCAACCTCAGCAGCATCTAACTTTCTTGCCTTGTACTACTCATAGTGAGTTCACATGAATAAAGCAACTCCTGGAAAAGCTCCCAAAAATCTGGCAGAGGGATGTCGTAGATGTTCTCGCCGTACTTTCTTTTGCGCTCATCCACCTGCCGAATGGATATGGCAAATGCAACAGCGATCTCACTACGGACATCAAAACCCCGCAAATCCCCTGTATAACCTGGAAATGCGATGACATCCTTTCCTCCAAGAGCAATGTACCGAAATCGCTGCTCTTATCGAGACCCAAGACTACCCACAATGAATGAAAAAGACCTTGTGCTATATAGGCATGAAAGGACCCTATAGAGAATTGCATTGCTAAGCATCCATGCCCTTGTAGTATCGCATAAACCCTAAACCCTAACCTGTAAACCCCTAATCCTAATGCCCTGAACATTAACCCTACACCCTAAACCCCAAACCCTACACCCTAAACCCGAAACCCTACACCCTAAACCCTAAACCTCCCAACCTTAAACCGTTGAGGTCTCTTAGTCTTAGCTATGGCTGCTGAAGATCCCCAAACTCGAAACACCTGTGACTCCTGCTCAGGACCCAAAAGTCAAGGATGCGGCAATCAGGGATCGGGGGGTTCGGGTCCAAGTTTAGGTGGGTTTGGAGCCCTAAAGCCTAAACCCTTTAGGATGACGGAGTTAAGGTGTAGGGATTCGGGAGTTTAGGATTCAGGGGTTTAGGATTTAGGATTTAGTGTTTAGGATTTAGGGTTTAGGGTTTAGGGTTTAGGATTTAGTGTGAGGCTCCAGGGTCTGTAAGGGGAAGGGTTTGAGTCTTTCCGGAATCCCTCCCGGACCCCCATCGTTGTGGTTGGGGTCCCTTCCTGCACTCCACCCAGGAAACTCCTCGATTTTGTCATAGTAAGCCCTAGCCCCGAAAATATGGGACCCTAATATAGTACCCTAAATAGTAGGATCCTTATTAATCAGGACCCCAGAATAAGGTACCCCTAATTTCGGAATCCCCCTATACTCTCTGGGACTACCCTGATCCCCAAACCCTGACCCCGAAAGCGAGTTGACCCTCAACCCTGCACCCTAAACCCTAAAACTCTAAAACCCTAAACCCTAAACCCTAAAACTCTAAAGCCCTAAACCCTAAACCCCTAAAACTCTAAAACTCTAAAACCCTAAACCCTAAACCCTAAACCCTAAAACTCTAAAACTCTAAACCCTAAACCCTAAAACTCTAAAACCCTAAACCCTAAAACCCTGCACCTCGGTCCCCAAAGGACCCGACTTAAAGGTTCATGGGACTGAGTAAGGGTTCCTTAAAGGGCTCCTGAAAGGGATCTATAGGGTTCCTTAACGGGATCTATAGGGTTCCTTAAAGGGATCTATAGGGTTTAGGATTTAGGGACTACTAGTAACGATGGTTATGAATACGGTAACTATACTTATAATTGGATATAATCCCAGTTAGGGTACTTATAACTGTACTTACTAAGACCCATGAACCCCCAAGTACCTATAGTCTCCATTGTAGGTCCTTTTTTGGTTAACCAGTCCTATGGTTAGGATCCTATAATATAGTTTTTGGCTAACCAAACAAAGGAACTACAATGGAGACTATAGGTACTGTTGCATCACATTAACCCTAAACCCTAAACCCTAAAACCCTCAACCCTAAACCCCTAAGTCTGCTGGAAGGAGTGATATCAAGTCCCAAGTGGTCCGGCAATGAAAGGCCCCCGGTGGACCCGTGAGGTCCCAGGCCTTTGTGGTGGCTACAACGGAATCTAGACCCAAGAGTAACCTAGGAATAAAAAGGGTGCCCTTTTTGGGATAAAGGGTGTTATAAGGGAACCTAAACCCTTAAAAGGGGAATAAGGGCCTACTCTGGGTCCTAGGAATACTATGAAGTATTCAGTCGGTTTAGGGTCTCAGGGTTTAGGGTCTAGGGTTTAGGGTTTATGGGGGGGTATTCCGATCGCTACATAGAGCCGTGAAGCCTGAAACCAGAACACTGATCCCAGGCAAAGCTGAGGCGGCCAACCTCCTTCGCAGTAAGTCCGGTGGAGCCAAGGTAGAACTCCAAGGGCGATGTGATCTCGAAATGGAGCCTAAACCCGACACCCCAAATCACCTTTTCTTGCTGTCTTCTTTGACATTCCGGGTATTTACAGGATAGGCGGTCTGGGACTAGATCCTTTTGGGTTCCCCCATGCCGCTGGCTTTAGGGCTCAGCGACCTGCTCAGGTGAACACCCTAGCACACGGTCTACGATTTTGGAGCTGAAGGTCTTACCTGGACCCTAAAGAACCTACCTTTTCAGGGCTCTGTATTAATGATTTCCTTATATGGCAGTTTCCGAAAATGGTCCTTGTTATACGGACCGTACTATATTAGGGTCCCCCTATAGGAATATTCAGAAACCCTACGGAAAGATGACCCTACAGTACAAGCAAACCCTCAAAGATCAGCACTTGCGGCACCGGTCGCATGACTTGCAATGACATTCTACGAACAGCAGGGGTTGTAATTGCACAATTAGAGGCAAGGTTATCATGCAAGATCCCTTCTACTTAGAGTTTACATCGAGGAAGCTCTCATATGATATGGTGCGGAGCTCTCGGCGGCGGCGTGGCTACGGCGACACGCGCACACACACACACACACACACAGCCCCCAACACTAAAACCAGGACCCCATAGGACAAGGCGCCGCTCGAACTTCCCGGTGGTGCTGTTGTAAACGAACTTTTTCTTCAGGTAGCTGATGGACTTCTGGCCATCCTCCTGAAAAGATACTTACGGGCTCTTAGGTCATCGTACAGGAATAGGGCCATAGCAATTAGAAGTAGGCTCCCTGACCAAAGTGTCCCCACATACTGACATGACATAGCTCATCCTATAGTGTCTTATAGGATCGTGCCCGTGCTGCCTGGATCAGCGGTACCAGGGCGACTCGCGTATCGTTGGCATGACCCTCGCGCGGCAGGGGCACAACCTCCGGCACTTCCGGGTGATGGGGTGAGGACCGACAATCCAATCTTTAGCACAAGCCAGAAAACTGGAACATTAGAAAGCCTTATGCCCTTGAAGGCAAAGTACAAGTAAGTCATCCTGGCACGAATCATGGCACACCTTCGCATGTTTTTATGGACGTTTGAAGGTTCTCTACATCGCAAAAGCTGCCACACAAAGACCAACAGTCTACATGATGAAATGCCACAGATTCTGCTGCTAACACTTTGAATCTAGGCTGCCGGGGCGGCTACAAGTCCGGAAACTTGCCAAACAAATTGGATTTAGAGGGTGTGCTTGCAGAATTAATATAGTGTTGTTCTGTATGATACTGCAGGGCTAGAAATCGAATTTACTACTACGGGTTCCGATCTCTATCAGCTGATGTCGCGTGCAGTGCCAACGCCCACCATAATCTACGACAAGCAAGGTTGTATTGAAACGATTTGGTAACTGGTGGGGTGCTGCGAGGTCGTGTGACTGTGTTTCAATTCATGTGTACATACTGTACGTTGTTGCAGATATAGATACTATGGCGCTGTTGCTACAGTGATGCTACAGAGAAAGAGAAAGGGAGGAAGAGCTTGAACGAACACTCCCGAGCTGCCCTCATTTGGACACTTTTTTTGGCTTCAACACTCATGTATATACAATTTCTGAGGCATGATCAAGAAGATGTGTTTCCCCAAATTTTCATGTGAAGACGTTGATGCTTACTTACTAAACCTAAACCCCTAAACCCCTTAGCCATCAACATCAAGGGTTCTCCAGGCGATTAGACTGGGGTTTTCGGGGCTAACGGTTTAGTGCTCACTGTATAAGGTAAAAGCCAGAAAGTTGGAATATGATTATCCTAACCCTTCTATGGTAAATTATAGGGTATCCTACCATGAAACCATGTTCCAACTTTCTGGCGTTCCCTGTAGGATGGTTTAGGCTGGGGAAGGCCAGTCGCTAGTTGCAACATGCGGGCCTTCATGCTTAGAACAAAGCCGGGAGGTCTTTTAAAAACAATACTCAACAAGGAACTCTAAGGGGAAAATCTTGGCAACTATGAAGGCTTCTCTAGACCCAACAGTAACCTAGGAATAAAAGGGTGACCTTGTTGGTTTAAAGGGGCTTGTAAGGGAACCTGAACCCTAAAAAAGCAACAAGGGCTTACTCAGGGTGCTAGTTTCATATTATGCCGGTGCCTTCACGTGCGTGGCCTTGTCGATGGAAGGCTGGCGATTGAAACCTGACTGAACTCCGAGTGCCTATGCCCAGCGCCCCGGTACCGAGGGCCCCCTTCTGGGGGATCCTTCTATAGTGATTTTTAGAAAGTTGGAACATCGATTTAGGATGATTCATGCTGGGATTCCCCTATACTTTAAGGGCATGAGGCTGATGATGTTCCAACTTTCCGGCCTCTACTCTGACTCTAAGGGTCCCATCTCAGGATTTTTAAAAAAAAACTCACCATTATAGAATCCCTAAAACGGGGACCCCAAGTTGGGATTTTCCGAATTTTAGGGGTACCTGACTTCAGGGTCCGTATAATAAGGATCCTACTATTTAGGGTAGCATATTAGGGTCCCCTCTTTTCGGAAACTCCCATATAAGGGGCCTTTCTAGTTAGTTCCGTTAAAGGGGTCCTTAAGGGTTACTAAATATGGGATCTACAAAGGTACTATCACCCATTTAGAGAACTACCTGTGAGGAATTCGGCCCTCCGTGCCAGCCGCGCCACGGACCCTACAGCGCACCTCCACTGACCACTGGGTGGCCAAGAACAGCCTGTGTTCTTCTTTCAGGGTACCACAAGGGTTTCATAAGGATGTCATAAGGCTTTAGGGTTTAAGGGTTCATGTGCCCAGATAGAATATACTTTGGCCTCAAAGTGGTCCCTATATGAGTACTTTGGGGCCAAAGTCCACACTATTTGGGTACATGGACCCTTAGGGTTTTGGCTGGGGCTTAGGATTCAGGAGTGTGCGGTTTGGGGATTTAGGGCTGGAGGATTTCAGGATCCAAGGCTTTAGGTGTTTAGGGTAGGGCTGCAGCGTTTACGGTTTGGAAGACTGACGCATTTCGAAAGCATGGGGGCCTGACGATGAGATTCAGATCTGGGTGTTAATTCCCTACTTGTCGGGTATTATGGGGAACTAAAGGTTAACCTTTTTGCTTACATAGGGACGATATGGGGGCCTATACTACCCAAGAAAGGTTAGAGGTTGCCTACTCTACTACTACGGTTTGAAGAAGAACTTGGATCTGTTGAACTGAAGGTTGCCCAGTAACGGCACAAAAACGGCAAGTCCAAACAGACCAGAACAATTCCTACGTTGCAAAGTACGGCGATAATTCTTGTTCTCGTGCTCTTGACAATGTGTCGTCTTATTGGCATTACAGCTATTGTTGCCGATACTACCATCGTAATTGTATCTGCTACTGCTGCTGCAAGTGCTGCTGCTGCAAGTGCTGCTGCTGCAAGTGCTGCTGCTGCAAGTTCTGCTGCTGCTGCTGCTGCTGCTGCTTCTCCTACTCCTGCTCCTGCTCCTGCTCCTGCTCCTGCTCCTGCTCCTGCTACTGCCACTGCTACTGCGTCTGCTGCTATTTCTGTTGCTATTGCTACTGCCATTGCCAGTGCTGCAGCTACTGTTACTACTACTGCTCTACTGCTACTGCATTGCTAGTGTTTTGGTTTATACATTTTATATTGGTAACTGTTACTCTTATGGGCAAGCTTATAGATACTGTTATCAGTATTGTTGTGCTTGCTGCTGTGATCGTGGATTTTTAACCTGGTCCTACTTTTATATTGTTGCTATAAGCATTTTGTCATAATGTTGCCCGTAGTATGTTTTGCTACGAATATTGTAATATCATGAACACTTTTTGATATTGCAAACAGAAATTCTCCAGTTGTGAGCAGAAAGTTCCCAAATGAGTAGATTTAAAGACATGTTGAATCTATACTGAACTTAGAGCCCTAGCACAAATTACAATTTTGGCTGTTTCTTAGGGATTATAATAGCCAAAATTACAACTGGGATGGGCTTTGGCAGCCCTGAAAATTATTTATGGATCCGGGCTGTTTTTGTGCATCCATGTGAATGCAACACCAAGCAGCAATCACTCACTCTTTTTCTCCCGCGATCATGTGGAATGTGAACAGTGGTAACAAGAAAAATGCGACACTGACACTGGCAGCTCAGACGATGGTGGCCTGCAGGAGCAGGCAGAAACCAAAATCTGGCGTGACACTCTGACAATGGAAGCATTTGACACTCATTCTGTGTGGCCAGTACAATAACACACCCAATGCGCACCCCTCCATGCCTGCTCAAAGTTGACACTGATTTCCAGCTGGTAGGCCTGACATAATAGAAACACGTGACACTCATTCTGTGTGGCCAGTACAATAACGCACCCAAGACGCACCCCTCCATGCCTGCTCCAAGTTGACACTGATCTCCAAGACGAAGGCCTGCCATAGTGGATGCATTTGACACTCATTCTGTGTGGCCAGTACAATAACGCACCCAATACGCACCCCTGCCTGCCTTGTCACAGTTGACACTGATCTCCAGCTGGTAGGTGTGTCAACTTTGAGCACGCATGGAGGGGGCCTATTGGGTCCCAACACACACCCTCCATGCCTGCTCAAAGTTGACACTGATGTCCAGCTGGTAAGCCTGACATTAAGGAGCAATTGACCGGCCAGTACAATAACGCACCCAATACGCAAACCTGCCTGCCTTCTCCAAGTTGACACTGATGTCCAGGAGGAGGACCTGACTTTAATGGATTGACACTCATCGACATCCACTGCACCGTAACTGCTTGTCGACATGGTGACACTTGGCAGAGGAATCATCAACCAAAACAGAGTAGCACCAGCCAGGCGGCGAGCGGCTCATTCAGACCTTGACTCTTCGAGCAGCTTGACGGTCTGTCAAACTGCTCGAGGAGTCAAGGTCTGAGAGAGCCAGCTGACACTTCATTCCATGACAAAGCAGACGGTAAGCCTGACATAACGGAATCACTTGACACTCGTTCTGTGTGGCCAGTACACTAACGCACCGAACACGCACCCCTCCATCCGTGCCTTCTCTAAGTTGACACTGATGCCCAGGAGGAAGACCTGACTTTAGTGAACTGTCGTCGACATGGTGACACTTGGCAAACTTAAAGGTATCATCAACCAAAACAGAGTCATAGCACCAGCCAAGCGGCGAGCGGCTCATTCAGACCTTGACAGCTCGAGCAGCTTAACGGTCTGTCAAACTGCTCGAGCTGTCAAGGTCTGAGCGAGCCAGCTGACACTTCAGCCATGACAAAGCGAATGGTAAGCCTGACATAATGGAAACATGTGACACTCATTCTGTGTGGCCAGTACAATAACGCACCCAATTCGCACCCCTCCATGCCTGCTCCAAGTTGACACTGATTTCCACCTGATAGGCCTGACATAATGGAAGCATGTGACACTCGTCATTCTGTGTGGCCAGTACAATAACGCACCCAATTCGCACCCCTCCATGCCTGCTCCAAGTTGACACTGATTTCCAGCTGGTAGGCCTGACATAATGGAAGCATGTGACACTCATTCTGTGTGGCCAGTACAATAACGCACCCAATTCGCACCCCTCCATGCCTGCTCCAAGTTGACACTGATTTCCAGCTGGTAGGCCTGACATAATGGAAGCATGTGACACTCATTCTGTGTGGCCAGTACAATAACGCACCCAATTCGCACCCCTCCATGCCTGCTCCAAGTTGACACTGATTTCCAGCTGGTAGGCCTGACAGAATGGAAGCATGTGACACTCATTCTGTGTGGCCAGTACAATAACGCACCCAAGACGCACCCCTCCATGCCTGCTTCAAGTTGACACTGATTTCCACCTGATAGGCCTGACATAATAGAAGCATGTGACACTCATTCTGTGTGGCCAGTACAATAACGCACCCAATTCGCACCCCTCCATGCCTGCTCCAAGTTGACACCGATTTCCAGCTGGTAGGCCTGACATAGTGGACGCATGTGACACTCATTCTGTGTGGCCAGTACAATAACGCACCCAATTCGCACCCCTCCATGCCTGCTCCAAGTTGACACTGATTTCCAGCTGGTAGGCCTGACAGAATGGAAGCATGTGACACTCATTCTGTGTGGCCAGTACAATAACGCACCCAATTCGCACCCCTCCATGCCTGCTCCAAGTTGACACTGATTTCCAGCTGGTAGGCCTGACATAATGGAAGCATGTGACACTCATTCTGTGTGGCCAGTACAATAACGCACCCAATTCGCACCCCTCCATGCCTGCTCCAAGTTGACACTGATTTCCGGCTGGTAGGCCTGACAGAATGGAAGCATGTGACACTCATTCTGTGTGGCCAGTACAATAACGCACCCAAGACGCACCCCTCCATGCCTGCTCAAAGTTGACACTGATTTCCAGCTGGTGGGCCTGACATAATGGAAGCATGTGACACTCATTCTGTGTGGCCAGTACAATAACGCACCCAATTTGCACCCCTCCATGCCTGCTCCAAGTTGACACTGATTTCCAGCTGGTAGGCCTGACATAATGGAAGCATGTGACACTCATTCTGTGTGGCCAGTACAATAACGCACCCAATTCGCACCCCTCCATGCCTGCTCCAAGTTGACACTGATTTCCAGCTGGTAGGCCTGACATAATGGAAGCATGTGACACTCATTCTGTGTGGCCAGTACAATAACGCACCCAATTCGCACCCCTCCATGCCTGCTCCAAGTTGACACTGATTTCCAGCTGGTAGGCCTGACATAATGGAAGCATGTGACACTCATTCTGTGTGGCCAGTACAATAACGCACCCAATTCGCACCCCTCCATGCCTGCTCCAAGTTGACACTGATTTCCAGCTGGTACTTGGAATCCTGGTTGTTTTATAAGTGGTTAACATAGTTATGTGGAGTTGTACCCTAGTTATTAAACTGTTATAAGTGAGTGTTAACCGTCTATTAAGTGATTACATGTTCCTATAATACTTATATCTTTTATGTTATGTTACTAAAGTTAATATTTTGTTAGCTAAGTAACATAATTAACTTAACCTTTTATAAAAGTTAGGGTGAGTTACATGGAGTTATGGATGTTGAAATATAGGCTTTAAGAATACGAAATTCATACATGGAGATGTAATATTTCAATGACATGTATTCTGATTTGTGGTGCATAATTCGTCGAGTGCACTGAAGGTATAAGATAAGAAATCATGGGTTTTAGAATGGAATCGAAGTTTTTGCTGAATGTTATCATTGATTTTGAAGATTATAGTATGGACTGCCAGAGATATATGTTGTTTGCTTTTAGCAAATAATTTATCAGAGTTGTTGTTCGATTTTTTGTATTTGGCATTGCATGTGTGTGATCATGGGAGCCAGACGGCCATAGCAGTGTGCTCATGTCTTTGTATTGCATGGTATGTTTGCTGCAGCCACCCGGCCATAGCGAGTGCCAGCTACAGCTTTCCACGTCCACCATAGCTTCCAAGCATGGTGGAAATTCGTGCGGCCATCCAGATAAAGTACGAGTCGGAGAGGCCAATCCTCATCCCCAAGGATCTGGTGAAGCTGTCCAAGGACAAGCAGTGGCTCCAACTTCGGCCCACTTCCCAACCCATAATTGAGTTGCTCACAGGCCAGAGACCCGACAAGAATGCCAGTCTGTCGGGTTCTACGGCCATGGCCAATCTCATCAAGAAGAGGAACCAGAGCTTCGACCAACCAGCAACACCAGCAGAGCAACTTTTCGATGCTCCAGAGCCAGGCTCAGGAAAGAAGTCGACCAGAAAGAGGTCTCTTCCAGACAACCAAGAAGAAGAAGTTGCCATGGACATCAATGGTTCCAAAGTCACCTGCTTGATGAGTGGCAAGAGGCCAAGGAGGTGCGATCTCACCATCCAACTCGAACAGCACCAGATCGAGACCATCATCAAGACCATTCGCAATGATGAGGATACGGCCCAAGTCCTCGGCCAGGCCAAAAGAAGCTACAAGAAGAAAGCCAGGTAGTAGCCACGACCAGTCCAGGAGTGACTCTTCCAGACTCTGCCAGGCCTTCGCAGGAAAAGGCTTGCTGCAGAACAGTTTTGCAAGTGTCAAGTGTTGAAGGGATGCATACAGTTTTGTTTGCTTTATCGTCTGCCTGCAGCCAGTATAGGCCATCCATGCATATCCATGGTCGCAGAACCATGCCACTGTTGAACCCGACAGATATATATGCAGGTGGTTAGAATCCAGCAGTTCCAGACGAGCAGAAAGAAGTTGCCCGGCACAGCCACACTTGAATTCCAGATAGGATATACCAGACAAGGCCACAGCCGCACAGAAGCCAGAAGCCATGGCTGTCCCTCCAGCTGTGGTCCAAGAGGTGGAGGCCATTGTGAATGGCCGCGAGCCAGTGAACACCAGAGTCACCAAGGTCTTGCAGGTGCTGGAGCACCATGGCCTCTGCCAGCAGCAGACCTTGGTTCCAAGCCAAGTTCTTTGCCACCCCTCCAACCGGGGAGGGCAGATGGTGTCCCACTTTGACGTTTGGGCCAAGGGACACCAACTCTTGGCAGTTGGCCTGCAAGTGCATCTGCTCCAAGGGTCCATTTGTCTCCAGATGTCCACGGACCCCCAAAAGCGCCAGCAGCAGGTTTGGAGGAACCAGCAGCTGGTCCAGGAGAGCAAGGGCTCCCTGGCCCCAGTCAGTGGAGCAGAGGGCCACTCAGATGACACATAGAATTGGTTTCCTTTTCTCTATATATCCAATCCATTTACAATTTGCGGATAAATGTATATTGTAGACATACATTGGCCACTGAGGATACCTATCCCTTGCCAGCAGCCACACCACGGCATTCTTGAGATGCCTGGAGCATGGGACCACGGATCCCAGTGGCAAAGCCATCTCCGTGCCCAAGACAGACCCAGTCTGGTCCGCCATCCAGACCGGGTGGCGGTGGCATGTGGTGGCCTCCAGTGTGGAAGAGGCCATGCCAAGCCTTCCACAGTTCTTCCAAGTCGGAGCCAACTCTGGCAATGCCATTGGCAGAGCCACCAGCGAGTTGGAAGCAGCCTGCCAAATAGCCATTCAAGTGCAAATGGGAGCCAGTCTGGAGTCGGCAATCCAGTCCGTTGCCAGCGGCGAAGTTGCCTGCAGGCAGAGCCTCCCAGCCATAGGGCATTATGTCTCGAGATACTCTGGAGGCACAAGCTTTCCATTGCTGAAATTCCTTTCCCACTTCTCCTCCACCTACGGCACCACGTGCATGATGGGCCAGGATTTCATGGAGGCGTTGTCGCACACCACCTTCCCAGACCCTGGCAACCTTTACCCATTGCTCCGCACAGCTCTATGGGCAACCCAGTGCACATCCACCAAACAGCAAGACGGCTTCGCACAACTCCTCACCAGAGCCGACGTCCAGAGACTGTCGTCGCCACAGAACATGGAGTCCGTCAGGACGGCGGAGTCCATGCTTTCGGATTCCTGGAAACTGGTCCAGAGCCAGCTTCCAGAAGGCACCAGCACCAATGCCGGCAGCAACCATCTCTACAAGTGTTTCGGCAAGTTTTGCGTCAGAGCCATCTTGTTTCTGACCAAAAAGGAAAAGCTTGGCCCTGATGCCCAGCAGAAGCTGGAGTCCCTGGCCCAGATTCTCGACCTTTTCACCCAGGACGTTTCCAAGGTCAAGCAGGCCACCCCAGCTGCAGAGGCAAAGACCATCAAGGATGCAGTCTCTGCCCAGCCATGGGAAGCCACCTTGCTCCAGAACACCCACATCAAGGTGGGCGACCAGTGCCCATGATTGCACATAGGAGTTTTGCTGTTTTAATGTCTGTTCCCTCATAAGATTCTGCTGTAGATACATTCCATACACAAACCAAGGTACACCTTGCCAAAGGAGCACGGAGCCAAGGTCTACCAGCTCCTGCAAATCACCAACGAGCGTGGGACCATGGAGCACAGGCCAGTGCTCCAGGCACCGGAGACAGTCCATGTGCCGCTGGCGGGGCTGGGGAAGTGGCGGGTCTCCCATGCCAGCCATCGGCCCAGCCGACATCATAACCAGGGGACTCCCATCCAGCCCAGGAGGACTTCCAAAAGGCAGCTGTGGTCACGGCACTCCACCAATGCTACCAGGAGCAGTCGGTCGAGGACTTGGAACTCCTTTGCATGGCTTCCAGTCCCCAGGCACTGTATGCCAAGAAAGCCATTGCCAGCAAAAAGCTCAAGCTGGTTCCATTGGGTTCCATCAGCAAAGTGAAGACAGGCCAGAAGCCGCCCAAGCTGGCCATTCAGGCCTTCGGCCATGACTGGGCCATTGGAAGCTGGAAGCAGGACCTCCAGTTCCAGGCAGAGGGCACCATCGTGCCATTTTTTTTTTTTTTTTCAGCAGAGGGCGAGGATGAGGGCAACATGGTCTTGACTACGATCAAGCAGGGGCCATGCACCGTGCCCATCCTCCATAACCCTGCGAAGATCCAAGCCAATGAGCAAATCTTGCAGAAGGTCGAGGAGGAAGCAGCCACGTGGCTTCAGCCAAGAAAAAGCCCAGGAAGGGCTGACCCAGCCTCTATGGGCCATGCACATGGGATCCATCCTTGCACCATGCAGAGCTGCAGGAGTTTTGAGGGTTCCAAGTTTTGCAGAGCTGCAGGGACCAGGCTGTTGCGGCAAAAAGAAGCACCTTCTTGGATCCAGGTGACTTGAGCAAGCCTCCTGTGGCTGTCCCAGCACCGATTCTGCTTTCTAGCCTGCCACCATGGCTATACCATGTCTGTAATTGTCTGCTTGATCCAGCCACTTCTTCCCAAGAGCTTCCTCCGCCTGCACCATGCCCAAAGCCATGGTCTTCAAGAAGCCTGCTGCCCCCATGAAAGCCATGAAGGTGGTCCACAAGGCAGCTGCCCAGAGCAGGAAGGCGAAGGCCAAGAAGAAGCCAGCACCTGTGTGCAAGGCGAAAGCCCAGAAGAAGCCAGCAGCCAACTCCAAGACGACCGAGAAGCCAGATCTTCCGCCTCTAGAACCCTGGGAGTACGGTGGTGGGTGGGAGGAGTGGGAGATGATGTCGGCGGACCCCAACTACGAGCCATGGGGGGGCCAATGTGCTCTGCCCAAGGATTTCCATAGAAGGTACCGCACCAGTTGATGCAGACTTCCATGCACTCTGCTTGTTTGCGAGGAAAAGTACATGTAGCAGGACTCTCCTGGAGCAAGTGAGCCTTCAGGGGCCATGTCATGCTTGCTTTGTTATACTTCATGCCAAGTTCGACGAGTGCATGCACATCCCAGCCTGCATGGCCATGCCAGGGATTTGTCGTGATTGCTAAAGCCAAACATGGCCATCACAGGCCCAGGCTCTTCAAGACGGACCGCATATGTGAGGTCAATGCAGGCCACATGAACTCGCTGCACAGCAGCCAGAGTTGCGGCCCAGAGCAGAAAATCCAGAGCTTTGTCCTGTTTCTATATACGAGGGACATGTAGCCACTGTGGCCATGCCAGGCAAGTTGCTGTGTTGTGCGAAAGCCAAGTGTACATAGGACCATGCCATGCCGTCACGTCTCAGCATTTTGGGTTTAGGGTCGGAAATAGAAGTGGAAATGCATAGTGCAGTTTGACCTTAAGAGACTCTAAACCCTGGACCCTAAACCCACAAGAATACATCCCAAAGCATAACCTCCCAAACCCGAGAGCTCGAAGCGCCATTTCTAAGCCAGGCCCTGAAGCAAAGCCAACACCATCCAAGTCCTCCAACCGCCAACTTTCTTCTAGAACCCCCAAGCTTCGTAGGGTGAAGCCAAGCCTTTGCAGGGAGCCAAGTGGCCATGCCAGACTGTTTGCACTTCCATTCTAGGGAGCCAAATGGCCATACCAGACTGTGTGCAGAGCCATGCAAGGCAGGTCCATGCTGCAGGAGCACAGCTTTTGCCAAAACACAGACCATTCGCAGCAACAGCAGCTGCCAAGCCACCAGGTATCTCCACGGCAGCATTGCTGAGGGTGCCATCAAGACCAAGAAGACCAAGAAGACCACGAAGGCTGCCGGAAACCCAAGCACAGCAGCTGTGCACCAGCGGCCAAAAAAAACGCCTCCAGTTTCGATTGCCTGAGCCGTTGTGGCCATGCCAGGCCATTGAGTTTGTTGTTTGAAAGCCAAGTGGCCAGGCATGCCATGGCACACATGTTCGTCTCTCTTTTTCGTTCCGCTGCAGCCTCTTTTGGCCATATAGCGAGCTGCCCACAGCTAGCCAAAGCCTCCACTCCAGTGCCGCCATGGTCAAAGGAGTCAAAAAGCCAGCGGCTGCCAAGGAGGCCACGACCAGGACCAAGCCCAGGGCCAAGAAGCCGGCAGCAAAGCACGACTCCACGGACTCCACGGCCGTCTCTTCCAAGCCCGTCCAGCCTCCACCACAGGGGACAGTGACGGCCCTCCCAAGCAGTGCCATGGTTCCACCAGAGGAGCCCATCGGGCCGCACGTAATGCTGCGGTGTGTGGTATGCCACTATCTTTCTTTGGAAGCTCTATCACAATGCCAACTGCACCCAGTGTGATTCCCCATGGATCACCAGCTTGGCGGGAGGAGCAGGCCTCGTCTACAGGTGGTGAGGGGCCACCCACCACCAGCAACCAGGCACCATGGGCCACTTTCTTCCATGCCACCAGGGCCTCTCTCCAGACGGCCCAGGTCGGCCATGGCTGCAAAGGTATGGAGGCCATTGGTTTTTTTGAAGGACCCAGCCTGCACCATGCAGGCCAGCAGCAGCATCTCCAAGCCGTGCCAAAAAAAGGGTGCTTGAACTCCAGAAGCCTTCCATGGCCATACCAGCAGCAGGTTGTCACATGCCAAGCCACAAAGGCCATCACATGTGTTATTTTTTTTTGTCGGTTATATATTTATATCTGCACAGATGTATGCTTTTTTCTATATGTTCAGAAGACCATTTGGGTGAACATCCATGGAAGGACACATACATGTTTTGTACAGATATAGAGACATATATAGAAATGATTTGTCTGGAGTAACTTGTTTGTATATTACATTCTGATTGTAATGAAGATATCTTTGTAAGCCATGTATCATATACTCAGCACCAACAGAAACAGGCAGAAGAAGAACAGCAGCATGAGCAGTCACAACCAGAGCAAGCAGCAGCTGCACACTGGAAGACCAAGAAGGACAGCTGGCCACGGCCACAGCAGCAGCAACAGGGGCACCAAGCTTGAGACCAGCATCCATTCCGATAGGGGTCTATAAGCTTCATGGTTTAGGGTTTGAAATAGAAGTGGAGATCCATAGTGCCGGTTCACTTCAGTAGACCCCAAACCCCAGACCCCATATAAACCCAGAACGATGTACCCATGAACCCCAAAGCCGAAACCTGCGAAACCCGAGAGCTCCAAGCGCCATTCCTATGCCAGGCCCTGAAGCAAAAGCCACCAAATCCAACTCCTGAAACAGCCAACTTTCTGCAAGAACACCCAAGCTTCGTAGCAGCAAGCCAAGCCATTGTAGGGAGCCATGTGGCCATGCCAGACTGTTTGCACCACCATTGTAGGGAGCCAATTGGCCATACCACACCGTCCCTTTTGTCAGCCCAGGTAGGTACGTGACCACAGTTGTTGCCAGAATCTTTGCTCTTCGGAGCAGCCCAGAGTGCTCGAACCTTTGTAGGAAGCCACAGACAGAAGTTTTGTATGTCACCATACTGCCAAAGTAAGAAATACAGTAGAATCAGAATCTGAATCTAATTCACAGATTCTGGCAGTTAGATTCAAATTTTGAATTTAAGATTTTCCAAGATTCAGAATCTGAATCTTACTACCAGATATCCGCATTTAGATTCAAATTCTGAATCTAGCCATTTTACATACATAACAGCCACCATATAAACATCATCAAATATTTCCACATAAACTCAGTCGTCCTCCAGAGTGCCAGCCATGGCCACGTCGCCGACGGAGGTGCCAACGAGCCCCAGCGAGCACCCCACCGAGGTGCCCACAGAGGAGCTGGCCAGAAGAAGGCCCACCAGGGCAACCAACGGTCCAGATCCCCCTGCGAGGCCCATCCCCGGAGGCTGCCACCGAAGCCAGCCCCACACCGCCAGGAGCCCCGCCATCACCCGTCACACCTTTCGACGAGCAGACCACAGCCCAACCTCCGCCCAAACTCAAACCCCCCATGGCCCAACCCGTCCCCCCAATGCCATGGCCCTTCCACGTCCCAATCCCCAACCCATGCCCAATCCCCAACCCATGCACTGGCTATGCTCCGCCCAGGCCACTTGTGCCAGCACTGGCACAGCCATCCTTTCAGGCCACCGCCACACTGCCCATGGCATCCACAGCACCCATAGCACCATGCACCTGGCCAACACCAGCTCCCATGTGCATGCCTCTTCTCCCCACCACCAATCCACTCCTACCCAGGATCCCCTTCCACCCCCCCGCCACTTCGCCCGCAACATGGCCAATCCCCGCTTGCCATGCTGCCACCGCACCCACAGCACCCAAACCACCAGTCCAGTGTCCCGCCAGCAGTGGCCTCCCAGTGTCCTTTGCCCCACAGCAGCTTCAACCAACCGCCCAATACATCCAAACCATCCAGCCCAAAGCCCCTGTCAGTGGCCCAGACATGGGCTCCAAGCTGCCGTCCAAAGCGCCACCCACACACCAGCAGAGCCCCTCCCACACACTCCACCGCACCACGGCCATGACACCGCCACCAGGCAGCACCACACCCAACACACCGGCACCAGACGGCACCACACCCGGCACACCGCCGCCAGACGGCAGCACACCCATCACACCGCCAGCAGGCAGCACCACCATCACACCCAAACCCAAGCTCAAATACCCACCCACCCGAAGGCCACAGACAGTGCATGAGGAGGTTCCAATGACACCACCCCCAGCCAAGTCCACCATTTCCACCCCTTTCAGCACCCCTCCAACCCCAATCCCACAACCCAAGACACCACCCACACCACCGCCGGCAACAACCCCACCAGTGGGAGGGATCAACCTGCTCCAACGAGCCCAAACCCCACCAAGATCACCGCCACAATCAGAGGCCAGGTCCAGCTCCAGTGCACCAAAAGCCAAACCTCTCATGCTGCGACCAAAGTGGGCCATCCCACAACCCAAGACACCACCAGCAGAGCCAGTTCCGTGGAGCCAAGGCATTTCAGGAACCAGCCACAGCAAGACCAAGAGCACGGGCTGGAAACAAGGTTGGCTGGCTAGCCATCTTGCTCCACAACCAGAGATGGACCAGGGCCCAAGAGCTGGCCAGTGTTTTCATCCAAGAGGCCAACGAGCAAGTCGCCACCGGGGCAACCCAACTGGAGGCTGCCAGTGGTTCGCCAACATGGTGCCAGAAGTGCCTTTGGCTTTCCAGAGCCATTGCCAAGGACGACCATGGACGAGCCCAGAGACAAATCCAGTGGCAGCTCGACCAGATATAGATTCCATAGTTTTCATTCTACAATAACAATAACAGCATGCAGCATAGGCTTGATCCGGAACCCTCCCAATCTTTTTTGTTGCCATTTAAGCCATTCAGTGGTAAAGCCTGCCAACCACTTGGCCCAAGGTACATGGGGGAGCCCAAGTTCGGGGCCTGGGTCCAGGACCAACTGGACCAGATGGAGAGATCTGGGGCCACCAGTCCAACGGCCATGCCAGATCGCTACAGAAGTCTCCAGTGACCACAAGGCCAGTGTGTCCATTCACAAAGATGACCCATGCAGTTTGCTCCTGCCAGGACCAAGGACGACCCTGGCTTCTTCCAGACAAACCACGTGAAACCACAGCTGCCACAGTGGTCGCTGCCAAAAAGAAAGCTTTCAGTGCTCTGCCATGATCTGCATGCAAGCCAATCGGCCATACCATGCTTTGCGAGCCATGTGGCCAGCACCCTATTTTTCGAAGCAGCCAACTGGCCATGAACACATATTTATACTATATATATATATATCTCTCTCTGAACTTCATTTCAAGTCGCATTCCTTTGTGTTTGTTTCCCATGCTTTCTTCATTGCAGCCTTTTAGGCCATTCAGCCCGACCAGGCCAGTGTGAGCAGCCAGTGCTTCTCAGGGCCATGCAGCGGTACGGGTGCCAAGACTTCGTCGAGGAGATTGCT